ACAAGTTTTCAAAATTACTGTTTTTAGTCTGATTGAAAAAAACGTTGTCTGATTGAAAAAAAACAACGTTATTATATTTAAATAACACATTGGTTTGTGGGTAACAGTAAAAATATCATCGTTACCCGAGGCGATAGCAAACTGAGAATGAATGGAGATAAAAAGGCGGTCAGATTTTATACTGTTAAAAAATTGTTAACCTGTAATAATACATATTTCTTAGTCACGTGGTACACGTGCATTGACAGTATAAATAGCTCCTTGTGGCCTTTGGAATATCAACATTTCACAAAAAGTGAGGGGTAATAAAACATTATTACATTTATTCTATGAAATTTAAAAGCATTTAATGTCGTTTTGTCTAGTAAAGAAATTTTCAGTTGATATGATGCAAATTCGTATGAACACATAATAAAATGTTGTCATTTTCAAGCTTCAATTAAATTGTTAATGATATCTTCATTAATTACCTAAGCTCAATTCAACATTTTCCATTTCACAGGAATCTCTAATTACACAAGGGAAATATCAGAATTCTAGAAAAAATAGAGTTGATTGATATCAATTTAATGAGCTGACACTCATTCCAAAATATTTTTTTTGTCTTTACTATAATCAAATGAATAATCAATCAATAGCCAAAGACTGGTTGTTGAGTTCGTCTAAATCGGTTGATATATATACTATGATAACAGTTATTATGTAAACAAAGTAGTATTTTGACTCCCATACAATATTACTAATTCACTTTTATTATACCAATTGCCAACAAAGAAAACGAAGCAAAGATAGTTGATATATATGGCAAATGAGTAATTCTTTGGAATTTGTAACAAGATACCAAAATACAAGTTTTGTATATTGACGTGTAAGCATTTCTCATATATTCCTTTTTTTGTGTTGTGCATATATCGTGTATGATCACATACCCGTGCCGTTTTTTGCGACACCGTATCAATGGTATTGCACGGTCGTGCATATATTTTGATGTGACGCCATTTGCGTTACAAACATAGCGTTAAGACACGCCAAATATTATTGTTACACTATAGACGCGTCAATGAAAAATGGTTGTTATTTCACTTCAAACGGCATTCGGAACTGCCTCGGCTATTATCTATTATAACCTCGGAAACAATACGGATTGAGAGTAGTTCTACCACGTGGTTTCAGATGTAAACATAAACAGAGATAATGTAAAACGAATGTATATATTTGACATCTTATGTCTGTTCCGGTACTCTTTTGCTTGAAAATATGTCTGACAACAATATGCCCACTGATGTTCAATTTTAAACAAATCCGACTAAATGTCATCAGGTTGGAGTTTTGTACTACAACCATAATACTAAATATATAAATAATGTATTGTTTGCTTTTGTACCTATGAATTCACTTATTTTAGGTGGACTTTTACTACCTATATTGGAAATAAACTTGTCAACAACTCCCAGCATTAAATTACTATTTGTTTACATGTTTAGTTTCTTAGCGTAGGTTAGACCGAAATACCGCATCCGTTCTGTGTATTCATACTATTGTGTCCGAAGATTGACGGAAAGGGCCGAGTAGTTGCGATTGTTCAAACGGTCTATATTTTGGTATATGATAAATAGAATATTAAATTCGTGTAAATTCATTACTGAATTTATTGAACTTGTTGAATAAAATAATATCATGCTCGCTAGAGGCTCGCAAAATATAATTTTATTCAACTCGTTCAATAAATTCAGTATTAAACTTACACTCATTTAATATCTTCTATTTATTATAAATCTAATAAATCTAACCCATCGACAATCTGCATTTGTACCTCGTGACCGTCTAATATATTCCTGTATTGGATCCAAAAAATATTATTTTCATATTGGGCGGTTGGGTACATGTGCACTGAACAACCGTGCATATATTTTGACGTGACGACAATTGTGTTATTTAAACATAGCGTTAACTCGTACACAGCTTGAAAAGTTATATTTTCAGGCTGTGTACTCGCCCAAATATATTCCCGTATTGTACAGTAAAATGTATAATAACCTACAAAATTAAATTAAATCAAATGGAATGCCACCATTGAGCGGATTAATGCTAGACAATATAAAGGGAAACAACTGGTATTCGTTAATGTCATCAAATACAAGCTTGATTGTAAACCTTGATCAGGGCAGGTAGAGAAATTCATCAGTGGAATAATTGGCTTATCAATATGATGCAAAAACATGTATAGGATAACAACGAATATAATACAGAGTAAACATCTGAATGGACAAAGTTTAGAAAAGGAAAAAATACTAAAAGATTTTATTGTTTTGTTTTTTTTTCAGCAAAAACATTAAAACGATGATGCAGATCAAAGCATGACAAAGCACAAGTGTGTAATTACACGTGTCATTTACACGTACATATATGAATACGTGGCATTTATCTGAGTTTGCTATTTGAACAAAAATACACTAGTGAAACCTGAGTATTTTGTAAAGTCATGAATGTTTCATTTATTATTATTTTATGTCCTGCAATAAAAAATCTAGAATGTTATCAAAGGAAATAAAATGTTTAATTTTATCAGTTAAATTATGTATCGTTTATATCATCTACGTAATAAACAAAATTTTAATAAAAAAGTTAGACTAAATATGCATGTATATAAATGTATGTAAAATAATCTTTATACTTTGAAATAAATGAAATAAAATAGAACACATGAATACAGTATATATCTAAAATAATGTTTCAGGGTTCATTCTAGAATACCGATATCAGTATGTTAAACTTGGACTTTTTTCTAATAATCTCCAATTAAATTTGCATATTTAAACAAAAAGCATGTTCTCCGAAATTTAAGGTTCTTTTTGTAAATGTGGTTCCTTTTCACGAAATTAAAGCATTAGGAAGCAGCCAAATTTGAACAATAACATTTTTGAAATCAATGATTACACAAGATCTAAACTATTTTACAACACTGAGACGAAGACGGGGACATCTTGCTAGTTGTTGTCAAGATTATCGCATTAAGAGAGCACCTTGCTAGTTGTTAGTTGTTGTCATGGTTATAACATTATTTAGAAAAACAATTACATTACAATGTCAGTCACATGTCCAAGATAAGTAGTACGTCAATTTAGACGTAACTGTATGATTTAATTCAATTTTGAAAACCCCCCAATTAACATCTGTTAACGTACAATTGATATACCCCAGCATGATGTTCGTGTGTATCGCCATGATGTGACAAAATATTTGTATGGAGTTCACAAATCATGCTGCGTATAAACTCTATAAGATTGACAATCAAAAAAGAAAATATCTTTAAATCGCTATATTTCTTGTACACATTTTGATAAACTATATATTTATGTAACTTTTATTTTATTTGTAATTGTGTTCGTCTATATTTTAGATATCTTCGTTTCTTGATTAACGGCAAAACAAATCATTTTATAAAATAAACGTTAATCGGTATTGAATAGTAACACATTTTTCTCCTGTCAAAGTTTTAAGAACATATTAACTATGTCGTATATTTCAAATTATTGATTTATTTATTCTGACTAAATGGAAATTTAGTTTTTAAATAAGATGATAAAAATAAATATAGTTATAAGGCGTGTAGTGATTTGATATACACAAAGCATCTTAAGTTTTCATTTAAAACATTTAAAAATCAAATATCTGAAGTGATAGAGGAGATATCGTAGGTTTTAGTGATTGACAAAAGCTGTGTCAATAATAAATAAGATATAACTTAATAAAATCATTACAACATCAAAACACTTCAAGCCTCTATTAACATCTTAACAATGTTACACAAAAATATTTAACAAAAGAAAGCTCTTTTCAAGTTTGATACTTGAAGAAGGTAGTTTCAAATTCATACATAGTTGCGAAAACGGTAAGATGTTTTATGTCTGAAATATAAACGTTTATTTTTTCGTTACAAAACGTTGCTATAAACCATGTTTTATTCGTTAAATAAAATTAGAAATTTCAAATACCGAGTATACGAAGTTAATTTCACTTAATGCACCCAGACACCAAAATATTTCTTTCCCTCTAGTCAGTAAGAAATACATTTTTTTTTAAATTTTTAAATTCAAAATTGAACATAAATATATTCAATAATAATTATGAAAAATCCGCAGATAAGTTCATGCGGTGGTTTTTCACAAAATATTCAGTCTCAAAACCCTTTCGCGCCACACCTTGAACAGTGCCGTATGGATGACGAGTAAATAAGCAATTGATGTAATGTCATATGTATATACAGTTCAAGCTTGATATAAATGCGATTAATCAAAGAAAAATATATTGTGATTTCTTTTACATTTCAAATTTTAAAATGGCGCTAGTTCCTATTAAGATTGAGTCCATGTTAAATGGTTGGCTTAAGCCGGTGCTAAGGGGCGTAGTGGTAGCTTGCAATAACAACTTACATCCATGAACAGGCTTTCAATTTTCCCGTGTTGGACTTTCTGTAGGGATTCTGTTTTTCATCTTTTTCATTTTTTTAAAAGCTAAAGAAATTATCGCTACAATTACAACGATTAATTATTTTAGGAAAAAAATCACAATAAATTCTTACTAAATAACGAAGAGGGCAGACCAGACATTGACCTGGCAACACGGTGTACCAGCTAATCATTATCTGCACCGGTTGCATTGGTACACGTGCATTGGTACACGTGCATTGGTACACGTGCATTGGTACATGTGTATTGGTACACGTGTATTTAGCTGACTGAGGGTTCACTGAGCACAAGAACCGAACAGAACAGAGCATTCACAACTTTATGTCGCAATATTTAATCACATTTTTCAACTAATAAAGTGAAATAAGAAGACTATCTTAAAATTTTGGTTAACGTCTTATTTATAGCTGAAAGTAAAGAAAGCGCACTTGTTGAGAGCATTGTATTCAAAGTTTCATAGTTTTTTAATGATGAGACATATCATATTTCTTGGAGGATGAGCGGTGCACGTCTCTACCTTTGTCACTTTAATTGAAGCCGCTTTTATTTGTCAAACACGTGACACAAAGCCCCGACATTTACAATACACACACATCTGGACAGTTTAAAGTGATTGATACTAATTATATTGTAGGATAAAGTTTAATATGTTGATAAAAGGATTACAATTATAAATTTAAAAAATGTGGAGTCGCGGAAGACATGGCTCTGATCAGGTGAGTCTAGAATTTGAAGTTATATTTTGGAAAAACAATAATGACAATCTAGCAGTCGGACTGTATTGATGAAATGAAAAATGTCAAGATTTTATTCATTGAATCTTTTAAAAATGAACATTATCATTATAATATTCATAAAGGACATTTATTTGTTTTTAAAAAGATCGAAATATATTTCACACAGTAAACACCAGTTACAATATTTTCACGAGTGGCGTAGCCATAAGTGAACATATAAAAGCTGGCGTTCACGAGTAAAATGTACACAAAAACAAAACAAATTCTCTATTTATGTCAGTTTAACTGATTTTTACCGTCTCTTATTCATGACGTCATCAAACAACTTGTTAGAAAATAACTCACAAATGTTGTGACATTTTAACATATATGCAGCTATTTGTGTTTTCATTTTTAGTATTCAAGCACATTTTACAAACGACGGAGTGTATTTTTGTGTATTTCCACTAAGATATTAAGATCTATAACAAATCATTTTCATTCGCATTAAAGTATGGCAGGCTACTGTGAATAATAGTTTCACTGCGAAAATATCAAAATATAATTTCAGTCAAAAAGCATGGAAGAAAATAATATATTTTTTCATTAATTTAACATACCTACTCGTGTCTAATACATATATAAGCGCGGTTTTTCCCTGCCAGATATTTCGAAAAATTACCTCATTCTTGTTCATGTTATACTTATGGCTTAATAAAGCCCAAATATCAATCTCATAACATGGTTGTTTCTTATTTCTCCATACAAGCTTCAATTGAGTTTTTGGTGGTTGTTGCAGTTAATATAAATAAGCCATGTATTTTCAAGACGAGAAGATCTAGAGCTATAACGTTACCAGTATCTGTTTGTATATTCATTGCCGATTTTCATATCATTTAGTAAATCACATGTATATTTCAACGTTGTCTTTAATGTTAACATTATTGTTTCGGAATTATATGTTGATACCAGAAAATACCAACAAAAGAATGAATACGATATACAGTATTTAAGACTATATTTCTGCCGCCTGTGGTGTTAAAAAATCCTCTAAAAGAAATATAATTGTATATATCCTAAAGAGCTAATGGCGCATTCACAAGTTTCTAAACGACACTTGCATAATATTTTCCGAACATTATGTACAATATTTGAGTTAAAGATCCTTATGTTGTAATCAGGGTCTTCTATTTGAAAAGACCCTGGTTACATTATACAGGATCCTTAACCCTGTTGTAATTAAGTAAGGGAAAGTTTATATATGTATATAAGTATTCTTTTAAAACAATTTCAAACATTGCAGAATATGTTAAATGTTTATATGAATTATAAGTAATTATTTAAAAATACCAATTCATTTCTAATTGAAAAAATTGGCTCAAACTTTATCAAAAATTAATTTCTAATTGCCTCCCTTTATTTAGAATTAAATACATGTATATATTAGGGAAATCGACTATATTTTATATATTTTATGGAAAAAAAATCATTAGATATAGCTTCATACACTTTTCAAAATCCTTCCGAAAAATAGCAAAAGAGAATGATAACAAACCATTAAGAATTAAAATGTGTTTGTTAATGCACAAAAACGATTATCAATTTATGAAATGTACACGTAGTTATTTGTAGTGCGTCACTTGTGTTAAAATTTAGTGTTTTTACGTATTTATGATGATCAACAGCTCACATGTTTCAAAAATGGAAAATGCATTTGTTAATTCCCTGCGAATTCATTTGCAATGAAAGACATAAATAAGACATTACATTGTATAGTACGTAATGCTTAAAATAAATGATTGTTTGTTTTAAAACATATCTTCAACATCATTATCAATAACAAAAGCAACAGCAGTAAATAACAGTAACAGAAGCAACACCTAAGACGACAACAGTTTTATCAGTTTCTGGGATTCATTTGCCATGGCGAATTTAAAAACTATGCTATATGTTGCGGTTCCGATCGGAATATCCGCCCCGAGGGTACTTACCCATTGGATGGTTGCGGGGCTTGACGGGTATCATCTAGCACCCCCATATCATGTGAATTCTTAAGTCTGAATTACCTATGCAAGAAATAATAAGAAATCAGTTATATATGTATTGTATGAATAAAACTCTTATTTCGAAGGAGCTGTTATAGCATGAACGATAAATATTCATACAGTCATAATATTTTTTGTCATATATAGAAAGACAACATACAACAGTTAGCATATCGTCAAAGCTATTATGATAAAACTGGTTACTATGACAACCGGAGTTTTGACGATGAGGCACAACCGCCACCAGTCCGCTACAATGGCGACAGTGGAGACGGTGTTGGTCGATACAGGAACAGATCTCCATCCACACAGAGAAGATCTTCTAGAAGTTCTAACAAACGAGGATGTAGCTTAAAATCTGTGGCAGTCTTTGTTGGCATAGCAACGTTTGTGTTAATCATTGTGTGCGTTGTCATAGGGGTGGTTGTAGGGGCATTTGATAGCAAAGGTAAGATAAACTTCATTCATAAAATTCATATATACAATATATGAGACATGATTTAACAATACTGGTAAATTTTACTGATGAAAGCTTTGCAAAAATTCATTTTAAAGTCGTATAATTTATGGAATCAAAGCTTTGTTCAAACAATTGTTTTGCCTCATAAAGTTATTATGCTCACTGGTCTTTAACTTTAGAAGGTTTGAAGTTGTTCTATTTACTATATCGTTGTTGAAAAAATATTTTATGGAGAAAAAAACATTACATAAAGGTAAAGGTAAAGAGACATTCTCACCAGAATTAAATATGAAAGAATATATCCATTATTATGACATTTTTATGTCTCAATGAGGGTTCAACATATATTTTTATTTTATTTGTAATGAAAATAACTGATACGTGTAATATTATTATGGAATAAAACACGGTTATGGCAATTTGGCCTAACATATATTTGAATATTATGAACGCTTGGTGGGTATTCTTGTTCATTTAACGTTACTACTATTTTTCTACAAATATTTTTTATACAGAATCTGAAGATTCACCTGAAAAAGGTAAGTTAACGGCAATAATGTTCAGATATTTTTATCATATTTTTAAAAAAAATGTTCAGTGTATTGAGTACATAATAAAACCAGAGGAGCATTACATTATAGAAGAATTGTTAATAAATTTAAGAATCAGTTCTATTAAGAAAAGTTTATAGAAGTAACTAACTAACTGACTGACTGACTGGCTGGCTGGCTGGCTGACTGACTGACTGACTGACTGACTGACTAACTAACTAACTAACTAACAAGCCAGCCAGGCAGCCAGCCAACCAACCGACCGACCGACCGACCAACCGACCGACCCCGACCGATCGACCGACCATCCAACCAACCAACGAACGGACGGACGGACGGACGGATGGAAACGAAACGAAACGAAACGGAACGGAACGAAACGAAACGAAACGAACGAGCTGAACGAAACGAAACGAAACGAAACGAAACGAAACGAAACGAAACGAAACGAAACGAAACGAAACGAAACGAAACGAAACGAAACGAAACGAAACGAAACGAAACGAAAACGAAACGAAACGAGCGAGCTAACTAACTAACTAACTAACTAACTAACTAACTAACTCACTCACTCACTCACTCACTCACTCACTCACTCACTCACTCACTCACTCACTCACTCACTCACTCACTCACTCACTCACTCACTCACTCACTCACTCACTCACTCACTCACTCACTCACTCACTCACTCACTCACTCACTCACTCACTCACTCACTCACTCACTCACTCACTCACTCACTCACTCACTCACTCACTCACTCACTCACTCACTCACTCACTCACTCACTCACTCACTCACTCACTCACTCACTCACTCACTCACTCACTCACTCACTCACTCACTCACTCACTCACTCACTCACTCACTCACTCACTCACTCACTCACTCACTCACTCACTCACTCACTCACTCACTCACTCACTCACTCACTCACTCACTCACTCACTCACTCACTCACTCACTCACTCACTCACTCACTCACTCACTCACTCACTCACTCACTCACTCACTCACTCACTCACTCACTCACTCACTCACTCACTCACTCACTCACTCACTCACTCACTCACTCACTCACTCACTCACTAACGAACTAACTAACTAACTAACTAACTAACTAACTCAGTCACTAACCTGATATTGATTTATTTTTTATAAAACAAAGCCACGAGACAGGTGAACCTGACGGGTGATGTGATACTAGCAGACACAGAATGGTCATCAGATCTTGATGTAAAAGACTCGAACCTGTACAAACAAACACAAGACAAATTTATTGCTGATGTAAGTTATGCAGTAACACATATATAATAGACAAATAATTCTTGATTTACTTTTAGGAAGATATTAACTTGAATGTTCTAAGACGAAATTCGAAATAAATCATAAATATTTCAAAGAAAATACTATCAATTATATTATGTATTATCATTTATTGCTATCTGTGAAATATAGTAAATATTGTTTATAAATTGTTTCACTATATTTTTGGTTGTTTGACCCCGTGAAGATGGACAAACTATTCAAAGCTGATTCAACTACAAAGGATATATATAGTAAAACAGAAGTTGAGGAATTCAGGTAATGAAATATCTATGTTTATTAAGTGGCTACCTGTATATTGAGAAATTTGATAATTATTGAATTGTTATGTCAGTCCCACATAGCTCAATCGGTAAGAGCGCGAGACTTGTGATCTCGACATTCTGGGTTCGATTCTCGGGCTGGCCAACTAAAACTACTAATCAGTCTTTCGGTTGAGACTTTAAATCGAGGTCTCATCTATGATTAAACATTTGGCACTTTAAAGAAAAGGAGATACTTTTGGAATTTGGGCATCTTTCTGTATCTTGCACTACCCTCCAAAATATAAAATGACTAACACTCTTCTGGAGGACTCGCCCTTGTGAGCAACCGATGGCAAGTATAAATAAACTCAAATACACACACATCCTTGAATTTATAAAACTTAGTTTGAGGGACCCAACAATGATGCAAATGTTCAAACTACATTGTACTTGCAGTAAAAGTACAACTAGAGATCTCGTATATAAGTCACATAAAACATGACTCTATTCGCTTGGAATTTGCTTACACTTTTGTGTAAGAAAATAAAAATTGTCTTGATTAAACATATTTGAAATAATAATTAGATACTTACATTTCTAGTGGTGTACCAAAATAGTAGAAAAATAGTGTAATGTTAATGTTAAAACTTATGTTTTATTTTACAGACCTGGAAGTGTAAGGGTGATATTTGTGATCATCTTAAATGTTCAAGTCGACACTGCTGATACAGATTTGATAAAGATATGTATTACAGTTCTTAAATCATCAAATAAAATAAAGCAAGACAGTGTTTTAGTTTATGGTAAGTTAGAAGATAACGCATTTTATTAATAATATTTACCTTAGAAGCAATCACATGAAATGTTGCAGATTGTTAAATTGAATTAACGTTAATTTTTATCTTTGGTAAAGGCATTTTTTATTTTATGTTATCCAATTCAGTCTCAGAGTATATCTAGCATATTGATTTGTTTGAAACTTTTTTTTAAAAATTACATAAAATATTTGTAACAGTTTGTATTTATTATCAAATATCATACTTTCCTAACACAATTAAGTAAATAACAACGCAAGGATGAATAAACACAATCTTAAATTACTATATTGCGTAGTGTTGACGAAGCCATTATACGTGCGTCTGTTTCATATGCTTCAATAAAAACAGCAGAAACCGCCTAATTTTTCTTTATAGATAAAAATAAGATTTATCTATTATAGCTATTTGCTTTATATCATAAAACTAAGAAGTGAGGAAATCACTTTTTGTCAGTAGCAATATGAGTACAAGTATAAATTTATTCATATTTGCATTATTGAAGGATAAATTCTTCATGTTAAAAAGTCAAAATGTAATTTCTATACTAGTTTCATTAAACTGTAGAAATAATTTCAAAATTAAACATCAATCATACAGTAGGTGCAGCACAGCCGACATCGACCCTTAGTTCACAAGTCACAAATCCAACAACGAGATCAGTAACGACACCTTCTAAAACAACTGGAGAAATTACATCAACATCCGTACCAAGTACGACTTCTCAAACAACGACAACACCTGGTCAAACGGCACCAAACACAGCATCATCCTCAGAATTAACCACGCAGACGACAATGACGTCATCAACAGCAGCGCCACCTGGAGACTGTCTAGGTAACGAGTTCCGGTGTGTATCTGATGGAGAATGTATACAGGGAGACTGGCAGTGTGATGACTGGGACGATTGTGATGACGGCTCCGATGAGGAGGGATGTGGTAATGTTGATTTATTGATGAGGAGGGGTGTGGTAATGTTGATTTATTGATGAGGAGGGGTGTGGTAATGTTGATTTATTAAATTTAAGTTCTTTAGATACATGGTTTTTACGTGTAAGTTTTAAAGTGAATTGAAATTATTTTTAACTAAATACCCTATTCATGAATTTATTTATGTTTTAAAATACCTATATTTGTATGCATTTTGATTAGTTTGGTTATAACTGAATGTATCGTATGAATATATGTTAAGAACTTTGTAATGCTCTTCTGCTACAAACAAGACAGTGAAACGTGCTGCAGTTTAATTATTGTTCTTTGATAGCATGTGTTGTTACCATTTCCAACATTTACATATCTACTATGCATTTTGTACACATCCATTGATTTTTTTCACCATTGTGTTATATTAGGATGTGGGGAGGAGGAGTTTAAATGTACCGATGGAACATGTATACCTCTATCACAAAGATGTGACGGGAAACCACATTGTGCAGACTTTATAGATGAAGAAGATTGTAAACCACGAACTGTTGGTAAGACAGCAAGTTGTAAAGTATTTATGCCGCGACATGGTAAAACCAACGTAGTGCGTTTGCGATAAGCATCCGAACAGTCTGATCAGGATCCATGCTGTTCGCTAACAGACCCTATTACAAGTACAGAAACTGATAGCGAACAGCATTTATCCTGAATGCTGGTTGCAAACGCACTATGTTGGTTTTGGCATGGCGCGGCTCATTTATGGAATCAGAATTTTAAAATCAGCTCGACAAACTATTTTAAAACCATACTTAACGGCTCCGATATTTAGCGTATAAAGCAAAATAATAAAATGGAATGTTTTAATGGAATATCTAGTGAATTTAAATCATGATTTCCAGTGATCAAAATTTTGAAGTAAATAATCCATTTTTTTGCAGGGAAAGTCTTTTTTCCAACAAACTTTAATAACGTTTACTCGATGCAGTCCAGTGATTTTACAAAATGCAGGATACCAGGATACTGGTGTTATGCTATGTTGTTGCCAGTACATGTATTTACTTTAGGCACACAAGAGGGTATCAGGAATACTTGTTAAATGGTGCAGATTATTCTGGTAATTGAAAGAGGCAAAAGTTATGCTAAAACTTCATTCATTTTGAAACCTTAATACTTGTATTTACAGAATGTGAAGAAGAAGAGTTCAAATGTATTAAATATGAGGAATGTATAAACAGTAGTAAAGTATGTGATGGTGTAAATGATTGTAGAGATAAAAGTGATGAATGGTTCATGTGTAACACCACGGACACTCCCTGGGAACCTGTTGGTAAAAACATATCACGCTAGAATTTTACATTTTCTTTTGTATTCATAAAAACACATATGTTTTCAAGAATGAGGTCAAACAGTCAATTTCCTGGTGACTTTCAACGATATATTTTTTCGTAAGAATAATTCTATAGTTTTTAAAAACGATATAAATGAATGCATTCTGAAATATAAGAAGAATACACATCGTATTTTAGGTTTTTAAATTAGAAACATGTATTATTCAATATTGATTATGCTGATAAAAACTTCAATGTGAAAACAAGTGTCATTTTGTCTTAAGTGTCAAATGCCATTAAGCCGGTGCTTGAGCGATTCTGTTTCTCTCTCTTTTTTTTAAATATAAAGGGTACATTTTGACATTTTGAACAAAGACAATAAAATGATATTGTTAAACAAAATATTTATTCTGTATTTTTTTGTAATTTTGTATTTATCTTACTGTTTTGCAAAATTCTTGAAGATTTGGAGGTGAGGTTGATAGACAGAGGTAAAGAGTCGATGGAGAGAGGTCGTGTTGAGGTTAGAGGAAATGGTACAACGGATGCTTTTGGTACAGTATGTGGTGACAACTGGTCAATAGAGGAGGCCATTGTTGTATGTAAGATGATAAACTCCAGGTAAAATTAGTTTTCTTTGTAGAAATATGTTTGTATTTTAGTAACGTAAAGATGAACATTTCATATACAATAATTATGTCCAAACACAAGTTTGAAGAAACACTTAAAATCTTAACAAGCATTACTTTCATTTAATTGCGTGCAAGAAAGTGTGATAGCAGAAGATAAACATAAAATATCATCTGCGTTTATTAAAAAACTTTGTTTAAAAAGTAAAATGCCTGCTGTGGATGTAATGTTTACAGGCACATATCAGTGTAATCGCACACTAAAAGATATACAAACTTTACTGTATCGCTTTGTGTGTGTGTGTTTGTTGTGTGTGTTTTTTCCAGTGATATTTAGCTACTTTAAAGAGAAAGTTATTTCTTATCACATTTCGATAATAAATAGAGGATATTGAATGAGTGTAAGTTTAATACTGAATTTATTGAATGAGTTGAATAAAAATAGATTACGCCAGCCTCTGGCAAGCATAATATCATTTTATACAAGTTCAATAAATTCAGTAATGAACTTACACAAATTCAATATTCTATTTATCACATACCCAAAATGAAGACCTTTGATAGTTAACTCATCATAAAGGATATCCTCATCTCAGTTTCAGTGGTAATGTATATGCCTACAATACGGCTGTGTTTGGGGAAGGTATGGGTCCGATCCTGATGTCAAGAGTGAACTGCCAGGGCGATGAAAGTAATATAGGACATTGCAAATCAAATGGGTTTGGATATGGGCGTGTCCACTGTGCTCATAGCCAGGATGCCGGTGTTTCTTGTGGTAATAACATGCAACTTGATATGGTCTTCATCATACATGTTTTTGTTATTTAAGTGATAATCGACAACACAATTAATTTCTAGGAAAAAAGGTAAAAGAAAACCGTGAGGAACGCCGTAAAAGCTATAATCAGAAAAGTTGCAGGCTCTGTTTGCTAGGTTTGGACGGTAGTGGTAAAGGTAATGTACCGATCACGCCATAGCAACGGATTCAATAACACTTAATGCGATATCTGCTTTCAAGGTTTCGATCATTAAAACGCTAAAACACATTTCGCTATAATTCAATTGACAGAAATTGATAACTGACTAATACATGATTGACAAAAATAATTCAAAGTATAGACTTTTGTTGTTTTGTCCTGGTTATTTTAATTTCTATTTTATTTTTTTTTTTAAGATGGAATTGAGGTAGCAGCAAGTCCTGCTCCAGCCATTGTGACACGTAAGTGAGCTAAACTACAACTTTTGTACGTAATGGATTGTTTGTAATTCATAAAATATTTTCTTTGTATCATGATAAAAATCCAACCTAGGTACCTAAAATTGAAGAATGGTATTTGTAAATAATCCATTAACCAACAAGCCCGAAATATTCATTGAAATAAAACTTTACTTTTTTTGGTCACCTGAGCTATCCCAGGGTGAGCTTTAGGATCGTTGAATGTCCGTCGTCCGTCATCCGTCGTCTGTCGTCCGTCGTCCGTTCACACTTGTTTGTAAAATGTTATAGTGTATTATCCTTTTAATTGACTTTATATTTTTCTTCTAGCGGACGTCCGTCTGGTCAATGGTGACACATGTTTGGAGGGGTTGTTGCAAGTCCGTTATAATGACGAATGGCGTTTTGTCTGTGACGATTATTTTGACAGTCGTGACGTCACAGTTGCTTGTAGAATGCTTGGCTACAAGTAAGTCGTGATTCTTTTGTTGTTTCGTTCTGTTTTTAACGGAATGAATAAGTTTTAATAAAGCATGCATGAAATGATTATTGTCTACAGAAATGATAAGTAAAATTGATAATTGTTTATACGAACACAAAATATAATAAACATGTATTTATGTCTTCAGTAGTAAATCTTTTATATTCATTGAAAGGCCGAAACAATAAACAATAGCAGCGAGGTTTTGATTCTATAAAGTAATGAAGTAAGATTTAACTTTTTTCAATTGATTTTATGACTGAAGATGATTTTGGTATATCATTTAGCGCCAGGCCAGGTTATGTAGATGATAGGTTTGGTATCGGAGACGGTGTTTTCTGGCTGGATCAGGTGGACTGTCGAGGAGATGAGCATCATATTGCCAACTGTTCCAGTAACCCCTGGGGTGATCATGATTGTGCTTATTATGAGGCAGTCGGCATTGTATGTGGTGAGAACAATTACATATATGAGGAGTATCATCCCTTGACAAAAGTAGTTTAGAGTTAGCCAATATAACTAAAATATGACAATACATCTTATCGTAAAAATCGAGTTGGTTAACTATTTACTTAAATAAAAGTTAAAAGTTGAACGTTTTGAAGAATTGTTAAACAACTTCGAACCGTTCAGTCATACACAAAACGGAGTATCAAGTTCGAGGTTAACTTGCGGTAATGAAGCTCTGTAGCGCCACGCTTATTACTTACCCGAGAACTGAAAATTTCCTTCCGATGTTTCATTCATTTTCTTGCACTCTACATATAAATCCTTTTTAATAACGGATACTAATATTCTTTTTTCTTACAATAGGGTATGAATTTGCAACTTCATTAACTAAGGCGAAATATCGTCATCCTAACCCACAATTCATTCATTAAAGGCGTGTTGATGACCTCATTTAAATCATGCGACATGTCTTATACGGAGGGGTCGGATATTGGGGGGGGGGGGGGGGGAGTGTGAGTGTAAAATAAGACAGGCTTTTCTAACACCGGTGTCGACAGCAGAAAATATTGTCTGATATGCAGGATAACTGATGTGTGAGTGTTTAACATGTGAACTTTATTTAAAAGGCGGGGAGCCATCGATCGACTGTGCTGAGAAAGGAGAATGTATCTCTAACGTTACTTGTACATTTGATTACGGTAACTGTTGTTACCAGTTTCTTGATCCGGGCACCAGTGGTAAAGGTAGTACACCGTGGGTGAGGCATAGAGCGTCACAGATACGACAAGTTGACCATACACAGAATAATAGACAAGGTAATGCAACAACGATTTTCTAGAATATCAGTATAACTTGATGTAAGAAATATGTATTGAAATATGTATTTACGAAATGTATTTACGAATGAAGTGACGTTCAATAACTCAACAACAAACACACTGATGTGCCTGGCAAGCAACCTTGTTTTTTTTGTATTAAAAGATAATGAAAGGATTTTTTTAAAATCCGGTATCTTACACATGCTATTAATTAAAACTCATTTTATTGAAAGTAGAATGGATTTTAATATGTGTAAAGTTAAATGAACAGAACTTAAATACTAGTAATATAAAGAATAGGAAAAATGTAACTGATAATCTATTTCAATTCAAGTTCTTGTCTACTATATACAGCAATAGTAAATGTCTTTTGTTGACAAATATTCCATTTTCTATTGCTGTTATATATATTCAAATATGTCGACAGTTATCCATTCCGAGGTTTCCAAAGTTTTATATATTTCACTAGATTCATAATAGACTAACTCCGGAATAAGAATATATGTGTTTTTCCAATTTAATTCTGGGCTTAAAGTTACAGCTTCGAAATTAAACGCGGCAGGTTGACTAATCTATTGATAGATCCCTACTCTGACCTTTAATAGGAATAACAAAAGATTTAACCACAAACACGAACATATGCTTTCTTGTTAACAAAGATGTGGTGGTGAAATTGTTATTGTATCCACTAATCTGATAATTAGAAATAGCTAGGTCAGGGATCTATGCATTGTGCCCGATAGTGCACCGTGAAGCTATAACGGTTGTACCGGGGGATTAACATGGAAAACCCCGCATTTGCCGAGTTCTGGATAACATCTATCGATTGATATGTAAACCGGTATTATAGCAAAATTTCGAAATAATCTTGCTTTAATTCCAATCACACTCTTTATAAAACGTCATTGTCTTATTCACTGTGTAGAAACACGTCCACTTCTGAAGGAGTTGAAATATATAAACGTGCACTATATGATACAGTGTGTAATTATTATAACCTATACACATACAGTGATTCCATCACAGTGGTCTTACTGGACAAAATACATGAACAGCGTTAAACTGCCACCTCTCCGAATTGATATATCTGATATTTAACATAAACACCATGTGTTAGAAAAGCAACATTAATAAACAAGAGCACAGTTTGCGATCACAACGCTCGTTTGTTAAAAATTCTAAGTTATAAAGGGACATAACTCTAGAAATTTTGCTTTTAGAATTATGCCCCATTTCTAACAACTGCATCTTGTCATCAAGTGTCATGTTGATAAGTTTTAAACTGATTGAATAATGGGCAATGTTAAAGGCTTTACACGACGCCAACGACGACGAATCCGAAGCCATTTTCGGCCTTTCTTTAAAACAGACGAGCTAGCATGAAATGTTACCCGAGTTTCGAAATAAAAATAATCTAAAACAAAAATATAAAGTTAAACTAAAGAATGATATAAGTAAAATGATCTAAACCTAATAAGTATTCATGTCAAGGAATTAGAGAATACGAAACAAACTTACATGTGAATATTAAATTCCTTATTCCTAATGAATGCACATCAAATAACACAATTTTTCGAAATCAAATAAGGTAGTGCAATGGGTTAACGGGACTTTGGGAAACAGGTTTTAATAAATTAGGCTGTTAAAAAGATTTTAAAGACTAGTACATGTAAACAGTAGGCAGTTTTTATTGATATTATATTTATCATAATTGTTAACATATTGCATATACTTACTACAATAATAGAAAAACACATTTAATGGACAATGTTGAATTATGTTTTTCAGTTCAATTGTGTTGGAAGCTATAACCAGTACTAGATAATGAGTGCATAGTTTCTTGCTTATGGAAACCCTAATTTATTTTGCTAATTACTGTACAAAATATTTAAAAGTCATTCTATAAATACTATATTTCACTTCTAATCTAAGAATGTTAAGTTCTTATTATTATATTGCAGGGTTGTTGGTGTATTATAGAAATATATTTGGCAACGCAGACGACTTTGCATATCTGAAGCTCCCACCTATAACAAGGACGGATACCCCACAAAAACTTGAATTTTACTATTTCATTACCTCCCTTGGGAAAGGTTCTTTTTCGTTGGAGTTGGATACAGATGAGCGTTCTCTAGTATGGGAGTCACGTGTTCTCACACCGGAAATGGATAGTATCTGGACATACGGCTGCTTGGACGTTAATACAGCATCTTCTACAGACGAAGGTAGCACATTTTAATGGGAAGATCCATTATGTCTATGATCAATCTTAAATTTTGACGCTCTCTTTCTGTCACATTTTAATTTAAACCGACAATTTCACTTCACGTGCACCACGTGCATTATTCACGACCACGTGGTTAAGTTGATATGGTAAACTATTACTCTAGTTTGTTGAAACATTAAGGATTAAAAGTTAAATGTTGTGCATTTTATTCTGAAAATTAAAATACTGTTACTTCCATTTACAGTGAATGTGCAGTTTGTAGGTCGACGTGGTGCAACAAATACTAGAGTTATTGCCCTTGATGACGTAAAACTGTCAGAAGGCCGATGTCCAGGTAATATGCTTTCCATTCCCTTTTCGGTTCAAAAATAGCCTTTGGAATTATTTACTGAATAGAACAGAACGTTATTCACTTTTATTGAAGACTGAGAGATAGTATATTTTTAACAAACACTTCTAATATACAAGAAACATAAAGTATCAAAGTGATTTACTGCTTTTACCAATGATTATTGAAACAGTATAATTTTAATGTTAATTATCTTCATAAGGCAAAGCTTAATACCATTTAAAGGATTCTTCTAGGAAAACGTTTGACCAACATAATTGTTTATATGAATATAAAGTAATTACAGGCTGTGACATATGGAGTTTATCATTTCCATATGTTACATGATTTAATCTCTATTATTTATTAAAACAAGCCAAATGGGTACCTGGCACGGTCAGTTCTTCTTTTGTAGGTAAAAACAAACTTTTACCGTTATAGCTTCACGGTAATTATTGATTGTTAAGTTGTTCATTCTGTTTTACTAATGAATTAAAATGTATTAGCATTGAATAAAAATAGTTTCAAAGTATTTCTTATTCTTCAGATATATCGACTACCAAGTGTGATTTTGATGATTTCACCTCGTGCAATGCTAGAATACTGTGTGATAACTGTGAAAAAGTAGGTTTGATGCCATACAGATTTTTCAAAAAATTGTATTTATGTAAAAAGAGATAAAATATGCCAACAACACTCCTTAAAGGGAAAAACAAGGTTAGAATAAAAACTTGATTGCAGAAAAAGAATACTATAAATAATAAGTCTGCAAATTTTCTGCCGCCAAATAATAATATTAAACGAATGATAACAAAATTTAAATCGCTAAATCACCGATTTCTACAAATCGGTAAGCGCGGCCATGTTTGTGTATTGGCCGTATAAAAACAGGTGCGCGTGATGTCATTTCCCCACATCTTTAGATTCATGATAAATGCAAAACGAAAATATAGCTATAAAGAGAAGACAACTCTATCTGTCTTAAGTAAAACAAACCCCAGAAAATTTTGGAAATACGTTAACAAATATAAAAATAAATCTTATTCCAGTAGCAATGATATAAGCATGCAAGAATTCGTTGATTATTTTAAACAATCATCAAATACAGCTCATTATAGTTCATTTAACTCAAATGACTTTACAGATAATACAGATGTTCCAATAAACATTGAAGAGTTAGATTGTCCCTTTACTTTAGATGAAATATTAAGAACAATTACATCCTTGAAAAGGAACAAAAGTAGTGACTTGTATAATAATGTCGCCGATTTTTTCATTGACTCAAAAGACTTTATTGCACCATATTTGGTCAAAATATTCAATTACATATATGACAAAGGCATATATCCGGAATCATGGTGCAAAGGTGCAATTGTACCGATATTTAAAAAGGGGGACCGTAACAATCCAGCTAACTATCGTGGCATTACCTTAGTTAATATAATTGCAAAAATATTTTCTTTATGTCTTAGAAATAGAATAAATAAATGGTGTGAGAATGAAAATGTATTTAATCCCCTACAGTTTGGTTTTAGAGATAAACGAAGTACCACAGATTGTATTTTCATTTTACACACTATTATACAAAATGTTTTCTTACAGAAACACAAACTATATTGTGCTTTTATTGATTATGAAAAAGCATTCGATACTGTCAACCATGAAGCTCTATGGAATCACGAATAAGTTGTTAAATATTAAAAATGATACAAGACATATATGCAAATGTTAAGTCAGGCGTTACAAATGCCAACGGCTTGTCATTTTCAGACTTTTTTGATGTAACGATTGGTGTTAAACAAGGAGGCCTTATCCCCGCTTCTGTTTACATTGTTTTAAAATGACATTAAAGACTGTATTGATAACCTTACAAATAACGATTTAGAGCTGTTATCCGTTTTATGTTATTATTTGCTGATGACATTGTACTTTTTACTACAAATCCAATTAGTCTTCAGTCGCAATTAAATGCTGTCCACCAATACTCAATTACAGGGCTTTTAAGATAAATGTGAACAAAACCAAATATGCATCTTTGAAAAACATAGAACACATTGCAATTTTAGGTGGAATATAAATGGTGAAAGTATTGAAATTGTTGACAGTTTTTTTTTATCTAGGTATAAATTTAACTATACTGATAACATGACAAACATTGTTAAGACATTAATTGATCAAGTATTGAAAGCATACGGTCACTTATTATCATTTTTAGCCGTGTTAATGTAGATGTTAAAACGAAACTAGAATTATTTGATGCACTTGTCACTCCAATTATTATGTACGGCTCTAAAGTTTGGGGAATTTATAAAACTGCAGAAGTTGATAATTTACATTATAAATTTTGCAAATATGTGTTACGGGTCCGTCCTACATCCAATGCAACCGTTTTTGGAGAATTATGCAGATTTCCCTTATTATTACAATGAAACAAAGATCATTAAAATATTTCATTAATATACTTAATAATCCGAATTCTTTGATGTACAGTGTTATGATAGATCAATTTACTTTGTATGAAAGAAATGATATAAATACTACACGTTCATATGTATGGTGTAAATCTATAAAAACTATGTTAGATAATCTTGGATATGGATTTTTGTATAATAATTTGAACGTAAACTTGTTCTCAATAGATAGCTTAACTCAAAGACTTAAAGGTCAATATGTCCAGGAATGGAATGACTTAATATGTAACCAACCTAAATTGAATTATTATAAATTATTCAAAACAGAGTTCAAATTTGAAAAATACATTGTTGATATTGTTAAAGAAACACACAGAAAACAGTTGACTAAATTTAGATTAAGTGCTCATTGTCTAGAAATAGAAGTTGGTAGATTTAATAATATACCTAGGTCGGAACGTAAATGTAAGATGTGTAATCAAAATGTTTGTGAATCAGAATATCATTTTTTACTTTGTTGTCCAAAGTACAACGAACTACGCATAAAATGCAATATTAGATCAACTTGGCCTAGTATAAATAAATTTGTCTCAGTTAAGTCTAGCCAAAACACCAATGCATTGAGAAGATTGTCAAAATTTTTGTATGACAGTTTTAGACTAAGAGAAGAAAGTTTAAATATTTTAGCTGCTTCATAGTAAAATCTTTGTATTTCAAAAGAATATAGATATAATACCACTATTATCATAATCAAGAATTTTTGTTCAGTTCGCACATAACTCATTAACTTGTGATTTTGTATTGTATGAATTGCAAAATTGTAAAGATATTGTCTTGATCTTTATTTGTATGTATGTTTGTATATATATGGCCAAAGGTTTTTGTACTGATTTGCCAATAAACTTTGAAACTTTGAAACTTTGATAAATCTAGTTGAATCGTAAGGAAATTTCAATATAATAAAGTATTGATCAGACAATTTAATTTTCACAGGAGGTGTAGAGGAGATTTTTTATGGTTCAAAATACGTAACAATATCAAAAAAAAAAAAAAAAAAAAAAAAAAAATAATAATAATAAATAAAGAAACGTACGGCTAGCCAAAAGTTCTAGCCGTACGTGAGTCACGAACGACTAGCCAGGACGCACTGTATTGTCTAGCCGTACGGCAATTTTCAAAATTATATGGAAGTCGAACGTTATAAAATTGTTGATTTACATGCTTATCATTTGTTGTTTGATTTGTATGAATTATTAAATCATTTTTGTTTTTATTTTATTTTTAGCACATGGATCGAATAAAAAATGATCGGAGTGGAGTAAATAAATAAAAAGAACATTGAATGGAAAAAAAAAACGGTGAAATGCAAAAATGATTATATAATTTTCAAAACAGTAGATAAATATCGAACATAAAAGCACAGTCAATCAATTAATTAGCCTTAATTAAAACCTATCCAGGGACTGACAATAGAATTTTAGAATGCCTTTCACGTAACATGCAAACTTTCCTTGATACAGTACCGTCGGTAATTGTCGCAATTATCAAGAGCCTAACAACAATCATTTTCAGTGTTTGTTTTTTGTTGTTTTTTTTTCATATAAAAGGTGTCGAAAATTAAACTTAATGAAACAAAAAAGGATTATATATTATCAAAAATTTGTAAACTATTTCAATTGGTGTAAATGCAAGCAAAGGCTATTTTTTCTCGACATCTTGCGATGACAAAGATCGATATATATAGCGATCAAGGCGATTAATCTCTAAAAAGTTAACATCCAAAGACAATTAATGCTGTTTCTTGGTTAAAATCCTCGCTTAAAGTCATAGCGTGTCCTTGCTAGTCGTACGTGACTCACGTACGGCTAAGACTTTTGGCTAGCCGTACGGGCCCGTGCGCTAGCCACTTCCATTATAAAAACCCTACTAAAACGTGTTTTTAATAGTACATATAATTAATTTTTTGCAGTTTGATTCTGACTTTCAAATTTAAAGGTGTCAACATATGTTATAATTGATGTACACATTTCAAAAATATAAGCAACTGTTTTGAAAAGTAAATTGTTAACATGTCTGTCAACGTATGATGCTGCGCATCGTAATCGTAGCCTAATATTAACTGCAGGCAAATCATTTTTATTGGCTGCTCAAAAATCTAATTTGCATAATTTATTCACACAATTGCTGGTTCTTACTACTTATGTCTAATATTGCGCATTGTCCATTTTAATTGTTCCTAATTTGCACCAAATGCTCCTGTCATACTGTGTACTGACGATTTTTATTGGCCCTTGTATGCCTCTGTGCCGGCAGACCTTTTGATCATGCACAATGTTGCCCTAATTGGTTAATCTTCCTTGCCAAATATTATAATGACGAAATAGACATCAATTTTTTTACGCTTCATCAGTGAACTGAATGACCTTAGGGGGAAATCGGTTCCACACCTGCCAAATTATACTGTAGTAAATTACAGCACGTAATAAAATAGCAACACATTTTTTTTCAGTTACCAATAATCATTTTTAAACATTAAGTAGATTTATGATTTTTTGTTTTATTGGATTAAATTTACGGTAAAAGAAATGCGTATCTGTCGGGGAAAGGAATTTGGTAAGTAGATAACGTGGAAAAAAGCTTTGGGGAACTGGATAAACCCGAGAATATGCGTAATTATAGGGGAATGGGCAACCTAGCTGTTGGTACCAGTTTTGACTAGGTGCCTAAATAACTTTACGGACAGTTTTGTTTTCATTTACGATATATTCCTGGCTGCCGATTTTCTGCGCCTTTCTCATTTTTAGCGTCAATGGCGGAAAATCGCGTCCTCAGCATATTGGATTTAGTTGATATTTTACCTGAAAAAAGATACATGACCGGCGATGTACCCTATTTGGATAGCTTGTCTAGCGAAAATTAAGTACAAAATAAAAGGATATATCGTCAATTTGAAGAAGTTTCTCATAGTACCCAATGTAAATTTATGGTTTATCTTTGAAAATTAAGCAGTCATTGCTTACATCATGTGGTTGGATCATCAGCAAGCTTGAATATCGCTTCACTTTTATGAATATGTGGAAACAGTTTGACTTCGGCCTAAAAACTAAGCATACATATAGTTCCGTTAACCTTTTTTTTTTTTAATTTTCGATGTAAATCTCAGAAATTATGATTTCAAAAACGAAAATGTATACGAATTTTAACATGCTAATGAATGCCATAATTAGTGTGTGCATGTGCAAAGACAAAAGAAACGTTACAATGTTATGCTATAAAACGGGTTAGTTGCTATGTGACACAGGGTTAATGTTGGTTTTCCCATTTCAACCAAGATGTGCAAACACCCTTTTATCGTTATATCTTTCCGTTGCACTAACCTACGGTTCACACGAATAAAAGAAAATATAACACGGAAATATAGCAGTAGATTATGAAGAACGACCCCTGAGCTGCTTCTTTAAAGCCGTTTTTGTTGATTTTCTGTTCAAAATTGAATGACCCAATGGCGGAGTTTCTCATACAAACAAAATTGTACAACTTGATTTCGCCTAAAGGACGTTGCCGACTTTTGCGCGTAAAACCCTATTTTAAGCAGTCTTGACAACAAAATAAGAACTAGAATCGATTGGAAATCCATTTATAAATATAACTATTTTTTATGAAATATATATAATGCATCATTAAGTAATTCAATTTTCACCAATGATTTCTTTTTTGACAGGATTACAGATGGCACTGGACCAACAATTCTCAACTGCTCACGGAAAATGATCAAATATTAAATGGTAACTACTAATCTTTTCCTCGACGTTAATCTTAAACTGTGTTTACTCACACGAAATTATGTGTAGTTTGAAACATAGTTTTATATTAAAAATTTAAAGCTTCTCTCCCGCACAAAACGGGTCTAAAAACTTCAACATATTTGTTTACAGTTATTAAATAATAATTATGCATAAAAGTAAAATTTCCTGTTTGCACGTTTTGACCTAACGGTTGTTATGTTTTACTTGAAAAAATATAAATAACCCTTTTTCACAACAGTGAACATGTTGCGAGTAGGTTAGAACTTACTATATAAATGTCAGTTTTTAACCGGATTACCGCAACCAACTGAACTACTTGGAACCAGTTAACGGGTATGTGTATAATTTAAGTCAATATTTACGAAATAAAACGTTGCAACGATTTAAAATTACAGCAAAACTTTACTTTTTTAGTTTTTTATCTTTTTTCTTCGGACAAGACATGTACTGCAGTACATGTATTAATCATCTAATTCCATATAAATGCACGAGCCTGTGGTGAAATTTCATCTTTTGATGGCATTTTATTTCAAAAACACCCAAACTACAATATGTGGGATAGTAGCTTAAATGAATTAACCATATCTTCTTATTGCTATTAAGTAATTATGCATCCATACAATTTTAAATGATGCACTTCAAATTGTAAATGTTTTAAAATAACATTTTATTTCATCAGGATCAGGATATTACGTGTACTCAGATTCGTCATATGGTAGAGATGGAGATGTTGCTAACATAGACTTTTTTCTCACCTTGCACACTGGATCAAAGAGAGGAGTTACATTTAGATACCTATATATTCACCAGGAAGATTTTAAAGATAGGCTAAAGGTTTGTTTCATAATGTTTTATAGTGTTTAAAACGTTACAAACGTACTACACGGCTGAACCTTTACAGGAACTCCAATGAGTTAAAAAAAATATTTCCAAAATATCAGACCATTGGTTATCTTCGTTTTTTTCCCCAGAATTGTCATTTATATGCTGCAAAACACATTAAAATGTAAGACGTTTAATCGCCGCTTTAACTCATATTTGGATCGTAATCGCACTATATATCGTTTCCCAACTTAATCAGAGTAAATTTAATTATATTTTTTTTGTATATGTTTCAGTTTTTTTATTGCACCTTTTATTATATATAAGATTTTCAAATTTTACACTTAAGGCTTTCGGTCATTAGTATTTTTTCATTCATTTTAATCTAATATGCAAATATTCAAAACGGCATTATCACTGGCTATAATATTAAAATATGCAATACACCCATCAATAAAAATATGATATAAGGTATATTTAGTTATTGATAAATCTTCAACGGCGGTTGGTTGAAGACATTTTAATTTTACAAAATTAAAGTTCTCATTTTTAATAAGTCAAATGTATTACGTCATATGTTTTGTACATGGTTTTAAAATGTCAGCTTAGAAATATATTTATTTTGCAATGACTCAGGTCTCAATGACGGCAAACTCTCAGTCGTCATATGTCTGGACCAGCAAATCGTCAGCAGAAGGAGGAAAATGGAACCACGCATGCGTGAACATTCCGGATATAGATGGCGCCGTGACTGTTTCATTTGAAGCTACACGTGGGAGTAACAGATTTGGAGATATTTTCATTGATGATGTTGATATGATTCAATTTTGCAAACGTAAGAACATATAATATAGTTTTTCCCTTATATATTGAAATGAAGCCTATGTGAACGTTAATATATTTGCTTAATTGGCTGATCATATTAAAATTATATGTGATTAATTAAAAAAACTAATAGTATAATTTTATGCCAGTCAATGCCGATATATGTGGAAGCGTTTTGAGCAAAGCAAGAAAAGCATCGTTCATAAACCTTTCATTGTTTATCCATTCAACATATAGATCCTGCGACATGTGATTTTGAAACAGATAATTGTGGATATGAGGTTAATGCAGTTAAGGAAGATATTTATACATGGGATCATAGTAAAAACTCAGGTACGTTTATACTCGTAAAATTGTCATGATCAAGTATTTTTACATATTATCATCATGAGATATTAAAAAATTCTTATTTAGGTGTTTTATCATTATATAAATATCATGATAAGTTATTTTTCGACTGCATGACTATCATTAAATTATTCACTTTAATATGATTTTCATTATCAAAAACATTTAAACAACATGCTCTAGTTTATAAATTTATGAGGAAATCGTACTTTCAGTATTTGTCTGTTCATTACATATAACTATAGACCTATTTACGACGCGGTCCGTTGCTATGAAAATGTGACCGAAAGTAGTAGTTTTTCCCCCTTACGATCACGGACCTGACATTGAAATTATTGTTGTAAAATAATGTGGAAATATATATATTAGCAAATAAAGAAGTCAATTCAATTGTTGTTGAAATCGTCCATATAAAAGCTATCTTATAACATATAATATATGTCAGAGATGCCAAACAAATTTTTTTAAGTCACATATATATTTCAATAATTTTTCAAACTCTTGGGAAGTTAAGATGGGTGGTGGAATAACACACATTTTGTCCGGTTCCTTGTAACACACGTCACGTACACTGTCACCTCACAAAATCATTTATTAGATTGGTGTAAATAAAAGTTACCTAAATTACGATTAATCAATTTCATAGTTTTAAGTAATTAACTATGTCATGTTACTAAAACGACCCGGTTAAATGATAAACTAGCTGGCAAATAACAATTGATAATCAATTCACGTTTTAAGTACTTTCCGCTTCAATTCATCCCAAAATTTCTTTTTTCTGGGTGACATAACTTGAAATCACTCCTTTTAAAGTCATTAAGTACACTAAAATGTATTCTATCTTTATTGAGCTTTTGCCCTACGCAGAATGCGCATGCGCGAAATGCAACATACGTTGCTATGCTATGGTAAAATCGTACTGTAAAAAGGTCTATTAACGTAATAAGATTTCATTTGTTAGTTCAGATGAAGATATAAACTACTCAAGTTTTAATGCTATGTTTATTTCTCCACTTTTTATATGTTTGATGAAGAAATTATTTTTATGATATTAGGGAAGTACAACATTGAAGAAGAAAAAGATATTCGTCTTGTTGGTGGAGAAGTACCTTATGAAGGAAGAGTGGAAGTCTTACATAACGGTTGTTTGAAATGATATATTAACATTTTGATCGTATATTTCATGCTTGTAGAAAGCCATGGTTAATCTCTTCCTCTCTCTGTTTATTCTATTTTCATTTTTCATGTAATGTTTTTATATCATTTACTTGTTCAATATTTGTTTGTAATTTATCTTAATTTGTATAACACATTTAATTTTGGAAAGAATAAATGTTGATTTTAAGTAGTTTGCACCAACGACTCTAATATATACACTTCTATTGCATCTTATTTAATCACTTTTGTATCAATGCAATCGGTCTCTTGTTTCCAATAAACATACATTTTCTCTTTTTATGTTCTCCAATTAACCATTTTCTATAATGGTTTGCTTCAAAGCATTTTTCGATTAGCAAGATTATTTAACTACTGAAAAATAACAAGAAAGTACTATTAATCTAATTTATTAATGACATGATTTGATAGGAGAATGGGGTACAGTGTGTGACGATGGATTTGATAAGAATGCTGCCATAGTAATATGTAAAGAACTTGGATACGGGTATGATATAACGTTGCTATTACCTTTACATAACTTAACAGTTGAGCAATGTAACATTGCTATTACATTTTCATAACTAAACAGTGGTGCGATAAAACAATGCTATTCCCTTTATTTAAAAGTTTTTGCTATATAACATTGCTATTATTTTTACTTACCTTAACAGTTGTGCGATGTAACGTTGCTAATACCTTTACATAACTTAACAATTTTGTGATATAACATTGTTATTACCTTTACATAACTTAACAATTATGCGTTATAACATTGCTATTACCTGTACATAACTTAACAGTTAAGCGATATGACATTGCTAATATCTTTACATTACTTAACAGTTGTGCGATTTAAGATTGCTATTACCTTTACATAACTTAACATTTGTGCGATATACCATTGATATTACTTTTACATAACTTAACAATTATGCGATATAAAATTGCTATAACATTTACATAATTTAAGAGTTTTGCTATATAACATTGCCTTTTATCTTTGCCTTTTATTTTTACATACCATATTAGTTGTGTGGTATAATAAAACTCATGATAACTGAATATCTATGAATAAAGAATGTTGATATGGAGAACTGGTAAAACAATTGTCGTGAGTTTATTTTGTACTATTATCGCATTTTATCAATAGCCTATCAATGCAGGTACACAAAGATATAATACTGGTTTTTCATTGAAATTGACATTTATTTCAAACCTTATAAAATGCGACCAATGAATGTCAAACTTAATATTGTACTTAACAATGCATAATAATTTCATAATATTAGAAAAGTATTTTTTCTTGCAATAATCTCTTTACGGTATGTTTAAGCTGTATGAAATACATGAATATTTTAAATGCTTTCATCAGACAGTTCTGCCTTTATCAATTTCTAGTTTTACCGACGTAACTGCCTTCACAGAGGCTCATTTTGGTGAAGGTGAAGGTTACATCTGGATAGATGAGGTGGAATGTCTTGGTACGGAAGATAGTATTAGACAATGTTCATTTAATCCGTGGGGCGATGAGGACTGTGCTCATTCTGAGGATGCCGGTGTTAGATGTGGTAAATTTAATTAAAAAAGTTCATATACCTAAAATGTAAAAATTATACCTTTATTTAGCTTTAACATTCAACTCACTAGATGTGGCGAGCACTGCTTTTCTTACCTATAATTATACTTCTATTATAGAACAATATGGAGTAAGAGCTAATGTTGCAAGTTTAAAGTGGTTGTTTGTTCATGTGTGTAGGGAAGGGTAAACGCACTGAATCTCCATTTAGTTCGAACATTGTTAAAGAAATTCCTATCAAAAAGTTCAAAAAGAGAGTTAATAAATAACTAAAAATGATGCAGCTGTATTACGCCAATAAGTGTTTAAATTAATGTGATTTTTTGTTGTGTCTTAGAATAAAAAATGTTGAAATATATTTATACGTTGATAGTCTTATACACAAATAACAGTTTTACACAATTTTAGGTGCACCCAGTGACAGTTCACTGCAAATGACAGGAAACTATTTTCGGGTATTTGATACAGACGCTCCATTTGGAACATGGGCGCAATTATTGTCACCAAGATTTGATATAAAAGAAATGCCATACAAATTATCATTCCAAATGTCAAAGACAGGAACAGGCGTTCTGCAGGTAAATAAATTGTGATATAAATATCTGAATTCTACAAGTACTTTATTTAAGATAAAATTGTTTACCGTCCATAAACAGGCTTATTCAAACCAAGCCTACAACATTTTCAATTTTGTCGTTTTGTGTGTTCTTTAGGGATTCTTTAATGTTCTCTATCGTAAAATTTTTTTATGCTTTGAGGTATATCTTCTTGACGAGGGAAACATCAAATATCCTTTGGACATATCAAACTCAGATTATGAAGATGATACTAACACCGTAGAATCGGTATGCATTAACTTGAATGACCTGAATATTGTGGACGCTCGACTTGTGTTTGAAGCTACAAAGGGACGTTTGCTGGGTATTCAAGGAAGTGATAGAGATACAGACATTTTTGCTGTTGATGATATAGATATATCCGGCGGTCATTGTCCAGGTTTGTCATATGATTTGTTTTATATTTACTATTATCTTTATGATGATAAAGAAACAATTCCTTTTAAATGATTTAAAATAGATATTGATGAAAAGAAAAAAAACAAACAAATACCATTTAAGCAAATTTTTAAGAGATGCATTTGGTAGAAGAAAGGGGCAATTATAATAACGAAAAAAAACAAACTTAGACCTTTGCTTTGATTTGTATTAAATTGTAGATATACCTTAGATAATCCAAACACAATATTATGCATTGTTATGTACAATATTCATTCAATGTATTTTTGCTTTTGTTACATTTATTTTTGTGTGTTTTCTATATGATATTTATGTTTGTATTGTCAAAGGCAGATATCTGCCGAATTGAAATTAAATTTTTACTTGACTTAGATATAAATATGTGCATTTGACAGTCAGTGTATGGTATCTTTTCTATTTTATTTTATCGCAACGGGAGCTTTAAATTGACTATAGAGTGACAAATACTGCCTTGATTATTATGCTTTTTCATTTGATTCGCACAAAAACTCGCTTTTACATTATCAGATGTATATAGCTGTACATTCGAACACGAGCATCGTTTGTGTAATTACCAAATCGTTGATAACTACAATGACAATAATTTGTGTGAACCAGCTTACACGTGGAAACGACGAGGTGGTAAACACGACTTGCATGGATTCGTAGATCATACGTACGGCGATATATCTGGTAAAGTTAAATAACTTTTACTTCACAATGTGTATATTTTTTTGCCCTTCATAATTTAATGAAAAACTGCATGGACATCTTTGATAAGAATGAAGAGCTCGGCAGACTGTGACACTTTCTTTCCAAAACGGACAACTATATTTTATGCTTAATTTTATGATAATTTTAATTTTAATATTTATATTATGTGTATATATTTAATATGTTTTAATATAAAAACATCTCCTTTATTTATTTTTACTATCTTTGATTATCTTACCAAAATAGAAATGAATACATTTCTAATTGGAAGATAACGTTTTCAATATTCACAAATGTATTTTTTCAAAGATATCGCACACACAGTTTGTATACCATCTAAAATTATCATTTCTTAAGATTAAGTATAGATGCTAATGAATCAGATAGTTGATATATGTAAACATCATTGTTTCAGGGCACGTTATGTCTGTATTAGCGAGAAAGGAACATCGTCCATCACCTGCAGAAATTATGTTTAAATTTGGCAATCTCGATGTCTCCAAGACGAAGACATTTCGAATGTTTTATAAAGTTCTCAAGGAAACAAGTGATTCTGCTGGTACGTGAATTAATATATTTTCAATCTCAATGCATAATTGGAAGGCAGTATCAAATACCATATCAAGTGTTATGAAAAAATTCTGCACAATGTATGTATATATTCATTGCATATATTCCAATGGCTTTTAATTTCATCAGATGTTGTGATATTCTTACAGGTAAATCAAATTTCTCTTTTAGTTCCGCCGCTCTTGTCATACCTTAAGCTGTAATTTCATTCTTTTACTTAGAGACCATACGCCATTTTTAATGGAATAACACGTACACGTCAAATTAAATGATGAATGATCACAGCCGTATTCACAGTCTGCTATTCAAACTTTCACCATCAAATGTTTGAATGTTGATGCTGCTTAAGTCGGTAATAGGAAGCGTGGATGATATCATGCAATTACCGCGACTCTCAATAAAACCGACTCTGCAAAATTTTCAATTATGTCAGTTTGGATGTTCTTCAGGAATTCTGTTTTACTCAAAATCTGACCCACCTTGTATTGTTTGATTCAAGTAATATTAAAGTTGGATTAGTTCCATTTTCATTTCTAAGACTGATGATGAGAATCATAAGTTATGTCGTAGTTTAAAATTTCTTTTCAGCTTTTCATTTCAAAGTTGGTAATATTGAGTCTAATATACAAGTCAGTAGCACCAATCTAAATAGTTGGATACCATTCTGTACTGAAGTAACTGTTGAAAAAGAGTCCACCGTATCTTTTGTGATCACGGCAACTAATGTTAGTGTAGCAATAGACGATGTATCTTTGAAGGACGGTGTTTGCCCGGGTATCATTTTACCTTTTTGTTTATTACAATGTTACTTGTATTACAGTGCTTACCTAGATATTCAATTAAATGTGACACGTTTTATGGAGGTACCATAATTTGTATATTATGTCTTTAAATTGATTGAACATCGTAACTTTTTCTTATACTTATTTGAAATTTGTTTGAGACCTTTATTAATGGAGTCTAATTATTAAATTGCAATTAAAACTGTGGATCCTGATAATTATGATCATTTCTGTATTTTTAAAACATATTTTTTTATTTAATAGAGGTGTCAACGAATTGCACATTTGATGACGATTTTCTGTGTGGTTATTCCACCGAGTATGGTTGGAAATACACCAGTGAGATGGATAATTCAAAGAATAAGATTGGTAACTAATGAATTATGAAATTACTTATCTCGTATTCTTTATCACAATAATTAAAATGTAAAAGGTCGTTATCAGTGGAAGTTCTATGTATGTAGACTAGTGTATTGTCGCTGATATGTTTAATACGATAATACTTTATATTTAGAATTTAAAATCAAATGAAAAAAATAAAGAAATTCATATATATTGAAAATTGATGCCTGGTTACGTAATCATTGACCCTAACAATATAAGTCAAATAGTTATTTTATATTTATTTATAGTTATTTCTAAAATAAGTCCACGTTATACTTGCAAGTATCAATTAAGTTGTGACAGATATTTTGTCACGAACATTGGTAAAAAACTGTTTTACATCATATATGAAAAATAAAGTCTTTATCAATGTGATATTTTAAAAGTAATGTTTGGTCCATTACAGGTTACGCAAGAGTCGTTCAATCAGGACAAGAACTTCTGTCTCCACCATTTGAAAATATCGACAGATCAAAAGTTTGTATAACAGCTGACGTAAGGACGTCACAAGATCAAGAAGTTGATACAGCCCCACATTTACATCTAGTTCTTAGGGATGTTGAAACAAATACAGAACTTCTGCTAAGACATGACTCACTGCCGGTCATAAGTGCAGAATGGCAGACATTAAAATATCAGGTAAAAAGAATAGATATAGTATTTTTAACATAACCCATTAGTTCATACTGCAAAATAAAAAGTAAATATCGCGTTTACAGAGGTAAATAATTGATATTTATGATCATATTATATAAAAAAGATGATGTCTCGACCCACCTCTGAAGACTTAAAGACGTTTTCGGTAGTTTTCTGTGCGCATCGTTATGCGCATCCAAGAAAGATAATCACGGATAATTACTCTTCAAATGAAGGTAAAGTTGAATACTATTCGGATAAGTGTTTAAATTTCGGCTGTAAGCAAATAATGAGTAAATAATACAGAATAGATATTTCTAAATGTTCAAAAGGAGATTGGTTCAAAAGAATAAGAATGTCGTTTAGACAACATCACATAAAGTATTTCTCCAAGCATTAGTACGACAGCATTGATGATAATTCTGCGCGCGTTACCCCACCCACTTGTGGTATAATAGTGACAAAAGTGCGTCGCGACTTGATTACTGGCAGACAACTGGGCAAAGAAGTTTAAAATGATATATTTTAAAAGTGTTGAATAAAAAAAACAAAATTAATATCCAAAAATGTTCAGAATTTCATTATTTTCTTTGTACATTTCTGAATACTTGCTTACTGTTCGGGTATGTTAGTCGAGTGAAAAAAAATAATATGGCCCTAGATATGTTTTAAAAAAAATCAGTATCATTTACTTAATATAACATCAAAAGAAAAAGAAATTCTTATTACAACATGTTTTATATTTGACAATACATTTAGTATAACACTGATATTTCTAAGAAAGCGTGGTAATTTTGACAGTTGGCATATGCGGTAACCATGGAAACTGCCCGTTTACAAAAAACTTACACTTCAACATATATATTTTATTTCTATTTTTGAATCCACAATCAAATGTTACTTGGTATATCAATAATGTAGAAAATTCTATAAAAGAAATTTCGTGATAGCTTTAATTTTTTACAGAAAATTTTCATGTTTATTTTTCTCTTTTTTTGTTTAGTTAAAAAGCATGAAAACTCATTTTTTAAAGAAATATGTCCAAATTATCGTTTGTTTTTATACAGAACCCTAAGATAAAGCAAGCTTTATATAAAATTATGTTTATTGTGAGTGTAATAAGCTATTTTATACATTATTATAATACAGTTTGGATATTTTGACAATTTTGAGATATACGGTTACCATGGAAACTGCCATTTTTCAAAAAATCCAACACGCCAACATATATTTTTCTTTTTCTTTTTGAATTTGTCATTAAATTTTACACAATATACAAAAAAATTAGAAAATTCTATGAAACACTTTTTTCAATATCTCTAATTATTCTGAGAATTCATGTTCATTTTTCTCATTTTTTGTTCGGTTGAGGAACATGGAAAACTCATTTCTTAAAGAAATATGTTCAGATTATCATTTGTATCATACAGAATCATTAGATAAGGTTATCTTTGCATAAAACAATGCTGGTTGTGTGTTTTAAGCTATCTTATACATTTCCTATTCATTATAACACAGTTAGGCTATTTTGACAGTTTTTAGATATACGGTTACCATGGAAACTGCTATTTTACAAGAAATCCAACAGGTCAACATATATTTTTCTTTTTATTTTTGAATTCGTCATTAAATTTTACTCATCATACAAAAAATTTAGAAAATTCTATGAAAGGATTATTTTTTCATAAAACTGTAGAAAATGTCTTTAACTTAAAAAATGTTGCGTTTGGTAACATGTTTATAAATAATCAACAAATAAAGTGTAAATATATGCATTTTCATGCCTTACATAACTACAATTTTGCTTTCAGGTTTCAAATGTCGTCGGTGAATATAACATTGCTTGGAAGGTAACTCTTGGAGATTCGGAGTATCTAGATATTCGAAGTGTTAGCATAATAAATGGGGATTGTATTTCTCAGTGTAAGTTAGCATGTAAAATCATATAGTGATTTCGCTTACAAAATTGTTTATTGAAAAAGAATTTAAGCAATTATATGTCATTCTGTAAACATTACAAGTTGAGCCAACATGGATCTACATATTAAGTCCCAGTGTATTGTAAATATAGACTTCAAGTTAACATAAAATTGCGAATATATATATATGTTTTAAATTTGAGATTTGAGCCTGTGCTAGGGGGTGTAAGGAATGTTGCACTTTTTCATTATCCCTCATGTACAAACTCAATCAAACCGAGTCAGCAATTTTCATGTAATTTTGCTGTTTTTAATACTTCCAAGAGATCACCTTTTTCGGGTATTTAGTATTATATTTTTTTTATAACAAACCAGTTTGTGTGTTGATACATGTATTGCTGTGCTGGGCAATCTGAAATGTTTTCATTTTGCCTTATTTAAAACACAGCGTTGCTAAAATAGACATTTTTTGCTATTATTTACTTCTGAAATAAGTTTAGTGTAGTTTCTGTCTTGCGATCGGAATATATATTCCAGCATTTTCATTTTTTTTTTGTTTTTATTTATCTTTCTATGCAAATATGCAAACAGTATGTGCAAACGATCAGTTCGAATGTAAGGGAGATGATTATACTTTCTGTATGCCGTTACAACAAGTTTGTCGAAATATTCACTTATGTCCAAATGCTGCAAGTACAGTATGTCGTATGTATAAGTCATTTCCTCACTTTCGTAACACACACCTATGATGAGCTAGCAGTTAGAAGTAAAAATATGGAAAAAAATATAATGTTTTCGAAAAGATTATACCAAAAAATAATAACAATAATTTTGTTAAATTATGCATTGAAAAGTCGCATTGTCATTTTAATGAACTTTCCTTAGTGTATTCATATTTATTGTTTTAAATAACCATTATATTCATAAATTGTTAAATGTTACTTTGTCAATATAGTTCTGCAATTTTAAATTTTACTTTAAAAAAGCTCTACTCATTTAACAATTCTTAAATTAACTAACGATTAAGCTTTCGTTCTTTATTCGCCAATGCTATGTATGCTATTAATTAAGTGTTTCTACTTAGGGCCAACGGTTTCTTGCGACTTCAATGACAGCTTTTATTGTGGTTGGACTTTGTATGGTGCATCGGTTGAGAATGGCGAAAGCTCGGGTATATCCATATGATAATATTTTTGTGGTTCAATATACCAATTAAATTACCTAGTATATCAGATTGACATATCGAAACTCTAGAATTTCACTGCATGCAAAATTATTGAAAGCCAATGAAAGGGTTTGTGGACAAGGCAATATTTTCTTAGTGTTTCAATATAAATAAGGAGAACTAAGATCAAGAAGACAAAGGTATAATTCATTGATTTTAAAAGATTTAAACCATTTAATCTGAATAATACTAAACCATATCGTTTAACATTAAATATTGATATTAAAACATATTTTGATTGTCATTTCGAATGTAATAAAGAATTCAAACTATTACTTTTAAATGACAACGTGTCTGATTAAGGGATGGTGCTTTTCCTCGGAGGTGCTCAGTATACATATGCCGAAACACCACTAATAGAAGTAATGGACATTTCTTGTATGACCTTGACCATGTTGAGGGACTTCAACAATAATATGTGCAGGCTATTGCGAAACGATAGCAACAATTTGGTAGAGGTGAACAACTTTGACATGTTCAAGTCACAAGGTCGGGTACAGAGTGTTCAGATTGAACTTCCAGTTGGAAACTACACTTTGGTGTTTGAGTGTCGACAGATTAATGAAGAGACATCGTATGTAAAGATCGACGACGTATCTGTTATAAGTGGAACTTGTGACCAGAGTCAGTATTAGTATAAATTTAGACTTACCTGTTGTAATACTAGTATATTTGTAACTATTCACGCTTAATATTAACTTCTTAGTATTAAAAAAAAAAGTCTGTACTCATCAATTTGCGATCGGATTTCTTATTTCCAATTTTGATTTGTGTGTGTTTTTGTTTTACATATTTTGTGTTTTTGTTTTACATATTTTGATGAGTTAATCGTTTTATTTTTTCGGTTTGAAATTATTCATTATTTTGGATTACAATTGATATAATATGTTTCTCTTCATTTAATTTGTCAATAAAACTTGTTTAACACATTTGACAGATTTACATGAAGGATTATCTTCTGTTTTTCTCTATTTTATCTAATGAAATATGTGTGTCTTACAGTTGAATGCAGGGGCTACAAATGTAAGAAAGATGAAACCGACAAGTCAGGAGTAACAGTTTGTTTCGACAATGATGATGTAGTTTGTGATAAATTCATCGATTGTCCGTATGATACTGATGAAAATAAATGCGGTAATACTATAACTTTCAATACCTTCCTTTCTGATTTGTCGAAACAAGTTCTTATGTACTGAATTTGAAATGATAACTTCAATATCAGATATAAGGTTTTAATGTATAATATCATATTGATGCAGATGAAAATGAATGCAGCAATACTATGACGTTGAATAACATGTTTTTATGTTCTGAACTTGAAATCAGAAGTTATAATAACTTCAAATATCAGTTATAAGGTTTTAATATATCATATCATATTGAAATAGAGTTGGTCAAGAATAGTGAATAGGCAAAAGGTACTAATGAAATTTCTGTTTCAAAAATTGTAAATGAACATTCATCTACACGAATGCTACACTTCATCTTAATTTTAAGCAATGAATCGAATTACATAAATGACTCTTTATTAATATGGAAGACGCAATTTCTTAACATTATTCAATTTTTCAGATTACACTTTTGAATGTGACTTTGACACGGATATATGTGGATATGATGTTTCCGGGGTAATTTCACTGATCAAACTGCCATACTCTATAGATGGAACAGATGTAACCATACCAACAGCGAATGATACTGGAAATGGTAAAAAGATACAGTCTTAAAATGTAAAGTAGTTACATGTCGAATTATCTAACGGAAAGTTTGAAGTAACATATGAGACTTAAGATCAATAACGGGGGGGGGCGCTATAACGCTACAAATCCTAAAAAACGGCGACGTCGGAGGGGCACCATATGGGAGGGGCGGGTTCCTTCTTAACATTTTATGCCATTCACATTTCTTGATTTATGATGATAAAAATTTCTGTCTGCAAGTCTACATGAGTAGCATCATTATCAATTGTTGGAATCTATTTTCTATTCTTTGACAGATAGAGCTCTGCTTTATAATTCAATGTTGAATGATCGACTTAACTTTACGACCGGACCGATAGTCGTTCCAGATGACGCATGCGCAGTGACGATGGACATGTGGATTCATATATTTCAACCGTTTAGTCCAGGAGAAGCTTTTTTGTTTATGACTGCTGGCTTCAGTGATAGGATTCGCCGAATAAATACTTTTACCAGAAACATCAACTTGAATGTTACAGAAACCTGGTTCCAGTTATCTATTCCGTTGTATGGAAGCTCTTTTAAGTAAGTCCATTTTTTATTTTCATTCAAATAGACAATGTTTGTAATCAGCTATAATTGTCATTGTAATTGCCTTTTAAAACATTTTTTATTTTATCTTAAATCCAACACGAAGTTATTACGTCCTTTCCCTTTCAAATTATTTATGATCACACCATTTTGTTTCAGCCCTAACGATTGGTCGGTTGGTTTTCTATCAACTGGAAGATATATTCCAAGTTTCAGCTTTGTTGCATATGGAGTCTATGTTGCCATCGATAATATATCTACACAATCATGTAATGGTAAGTTTGATCAATTGCTAAATTGATATATTTCAAATGTTTATAGTGTACGCCACAAAGGCTCTGAAGGGACAAATGTCTTCAAGGCAAGCTGAACTCTATCTTACAAACTTAATTTGTTATTATTATAATAATAAATCACCTAAATTGTGTTTTCATTCGATTTATGAATTAAAGCACCACGTAAGGTATATATTATTACTAAAACCATACATTTAATATAATTTTACCTTTTCTGTTTGACTATTATGTAATATGTGGCGAGCATGTGCAACTAAACAACTAGAGAAAGCAAAAGTTCATTCGGCTATTTTTTTAACGGAATATAAATTTATTTACAGAAGGTAACACATTTAGACATAAACAGATTTTAACACATTTACTATGCGGCCTTCTGACTAAAAAACAGTCAAAAGAACACATATCAATCTTAGAAAATATAATGCATAATTGTTCATTAGTAGCGATGGCATGATTCTTAACTGGCGGTTTCAATAGCTTCGGTTTTATTTTTGACCTCTACAGTTGTTTCTTCTTTTAGAAACTGATAAAACCGATGAACTGCCTCCAGATTTTGATGAAAACAATAGAACTTCAACCAATTTACCAGGTAACTAATATTTATTGCACCATACAATTATTTAGTTTTGTTCTATTTACTTAAGCCATTTACAAAAATCTAAATTAATATGATTTGCTTTGATTTAATCATATGCTATAACAAAAATAAAAAAGTTAAGTGTTATCAGTATGTTAAATATTTTGTTGTCTGACCAACAATTATATCGAAGTTAAGTTATTAAATTAGCCAATATAATAAATTTAAGGTGGATTCTTTCAAATTGTAATGTCAATTGTACAACAACAGTAATTGTGGTACGAAACTTATCATAAATGACTCGTGGCTACCGCCACTCATGAAATATTTATTTTCATACCACTCGATGAAAATAAATCCTGCATTTTAGAAAAAAAACTTGAATATCCTCTATATATATTTTGATGTACTATTATTTAGAAGCATCCGATTTCAGAAAATTTCCCAACTACTGTGATTGACAATGCTCATGTTGTGGCCGATTTCCTCGATACAGTGTCACTTCTTTGCAGCGTCGAAAATCTAGGACAAAGCCAGGTTAGTTCCATCATTTATGGTACCATTATTGATGTGAAAACATATTTTACCCATATTACGTTGTACATACAGTAATAATGTTATAATTTATTGAGATTGTTTTTTGATGTATTGAGTTTTTGATTATGTTTAATTATTGAAATCGACCAACTTGCCCTACATTAGATATTGAAGATTAGGTTTCCAGATTTTTATACTTCACAACAGCAGGTGTCAAGTGCTGTTTGGCAGCTGTAAAAAGTTGCCCCGTACTTCACTTCAGTGTTGTTATATTTTTTTGGTCCTTCGGGATCATTGATGCCAGCACTACTAAGTGTTGAGAATTGAGTATCGCTCAAGCTGGTGCTAGGGGGCCTGAGGGATGTTGCACGTATTCATTATCACTCATGTACAGACTCAATCAAATCGAGTCTGCAATTCTCTTGTAATTTTGTTGTGATAAATGCTTCCGAGGGATCACTTTTTCCAGATTTTTTTGGTTATAACTAAAACAGCTGTGACAATATTACTTTCTTGTTTACTGAGCTTTTGTCAACGTTTTCTAGTAGACGTGGTGTGTTATAAACAAATGTGTTCTAGCATACAGTAACAACTTTTTTGGAATTTTTGGTATACAAGTATTTGGTTCTTGAAAAATTGAAAATCATATATTTGTATGTACATGGCGTTCTTCTGTTACAGGTAACACTACATTGGTATAAAGACGAGGTCCAGATATCTAGAAACAATGAAATTATAAACCAGGATGTTACAACAATATATGATTTGGAGATGCTTAAATATACAGTTATGATAGATAATGATCCTACATCGGGAAAGTTGAATTATTCATTAATACTTCATAGGTTTGTTCATTTAATGATTTCATCCAATTGCTGACAGTATAGTATAAATATTATATTGTTTAAACATGTATAAGGTTAATTTGTTCATGACAAGTTAGTGCTTATGACGATACAAGTTGAATATTTACATTTGATATATAAACATAAACTTGTAGTAGATAATGTTTAACTAACTGTTTCCAGAATGATATATAAACAGTTACTGTTTGTGTATTTCAGACAATTCGTAATTCATGTTAGGCTTCATTTATTATATATCTTCATTTATTATGGTTGTAACAAAAAAATCATGACACATTTTCTGAGAGCGCTACAACTAAATTTTAATATCATTGTCAGGTTATCAAGCATACCATTCTCTATAAAAATGGCAAAATTCCTTATACTTTTTCCTGTTTTATTTATTCATCTTTCACTGATTGGAGATAAAGAAGTATTGAGGCACTGACCAATATTTGTAGCAAGGAATTTAGTGCACTAATTGCACATCTAAATGGGTTTAATTATTACATGCTTTTCGGTGTTTTATAGAAATATATCAGTGATATAAAACTGGTAATTTCACTGTTTGAAACAGTGAAATTACCACTTTGATAATTTCACTGTTTTGAATTTAAGCCCCTTACGATGTTTCAGTGAAATACCAGCGTGCACAGTACTGGGTACCAACTTAATGACGTGAGGTCGTAAATGACGTCACATTGTATTATTATTTGGCGCGCTTTTCATTCAGTATTATGTTTTATGTCTTTTTAAATCGTTTCTTTGCATATAATAAAAAGAAAAATTGTTTAGTTTAGTGTAAGATCGAAATATATTTCACCTTGTGAACACCAAAAGTTCATATTTCACTCGTGGCTGCGCCACTCGTGAAATATACCTTTTGGTGCTCACTCGGTGAAATATATTTTGATCTTACACTGAACTAAACAAATATCCTCTATTTAATAGTTGAAATGCATCAGAAATAAATTTTGTATTTTCAATTTTAATTGTTAAGGAACTTCACTGAGGTCCAAAAGCCTAAAACATAAAATTTTAATTTTTTACAAAGATCAGCTGGGGCACTTAAAACGGAAAGATACTCAAAGATCATTAAGAAATATACCCGGAAATAAATTGAAAATCGTATTGTAATGCTATTTAGTTGGTTGTGACTTAAAAGCGTTGCTTTTCATTATCGGTCATTTTACAGAATTAAAATAATTATCTTGGAAAAATGAAGTGAGTGAATGATCTAAAATTTTACACACACGTTTTTAGTCAAGACCTTCATCAAACTGAACATTAATCTCGAAAATTTATCCCCAGTAAATCTCAGTGTAGTCCCTTTAATATGATGATGTCCGTTATAAAAATAATCGACGCCTAGGGGGGTCAATTGATGTACTACTCTTATAATTGATGCACTAATTGTATAAACGTTATTTCGTTACGGTTCATTCATTTTATTACAGGGTGTCTAAAGCGGACGCTGGGGCATATTCATGTAAGATAGAATTAGATGGATTAAGTGATGTATCCAACATTTACGTTACTGTTAACACACGACTCGCATTATCAGGTTAGTTATTAACATATTTTGAAGTACATGTCCTGTGTTTGGCAGCAACTTGGAAAGTAATTTACGTGATCGCATAAAGTTTAATTTACCACTGTTTACGATTATATTTCTTTTTCAAATCGACCTTGTTTTGACCTTCAGTCTTAAGATTTTTCTAATGTCATATTACATTTTATCATTATTATGATTATTATTGTTTTGAAAATACATATTTCAGAAAACAATTGCTACAAAAACACACTGCCAACATGCCAAGCTTTAGGATTTGATGAAGTTATTCCAAAAGGACCTCTTGGTTTTCGGGAAGTACAAGATGCAGCATTACATATACAGGACATAGAACATTCTATAACGTTTGAAAAGATGTCAAAATCTTGTCAGCGTTCTATAATGACATTGCAATGTGGCCTTTTACTGCCGAAATGCCAAGATGGAAATCCCATTCATGTTTGCAGAGAACACTGTGAAAGTAATTCATTCCTTTGTAATCTTCTGAGACAGATTGCATTTAAAAGCTGGCCTGCTAAAATAAAAATAGAAAATAATACCTGAAAGATACTTGTCATAGAAAAATGAAAAAAATCACAAAAACGATAATATATCTTACAAGAATAAATTTTTTAAATTTTTTTTTTAAATACGAAGAGGTATTCTGATGTTATTTGCATAATACATATATGAAACTATTTGGCGGTCATTGGTTTTATTTTTATTCTTCTAATTAATACTTTAGCTAGTGGATGAATGTAAAAAAGCTTATTGTTCCTTTATATGTATCGTTTATATTTTATTTACTTCAGGTATAATAGAAGGTTGCCATGTAAACAATTACGACAATAATCTCTTTCTGAAGTTACAACAAGGTTGCAAGTTTTTGCATTTTGTTAATGAAAGTGGGCAGTGTCTTCCAATTACTGTAGGTATGTACATATCACATTTTTACTGCTTTAAATATTTAACAAATGACTATTTGCAACATTTATGGGACCTATCGAAAATAAAACTGTCAATTGTTCTTTAAGGTTCTATACGTTTTCTACTTTTTCACCTATTGTTCGTTTGTTTATTTCAGGATGTGGGCTGGAATATACAGGGCACACAGGAAGTATTGTATCTGTCAATTATCCGGATTCATACCCCGTAAACTCTAAATGTGAATGGCATATAGCTGTAGAACCGTATCATATGATTCAGTTTGAGGTTGTATATTACGATGTTGACGCTAATACCGGAAGTTCATCTGAATGTGGATTATCTGTAAGCTCATTGTACATGAAGTATCACATTTATGAAACCGTAACTTAAACATTGTTAGTCCCCTACCGGTTTACCGGAGGGGACTTTAGGTTTACCCTCCGTCCGTCTGTCCGTCTGTCTGTCTGTCTGTCCGTCTGTCCGTCCGTCAGTCCGTCCACAAAACTGGATCCCGCGATAACGCAAAAAGTACTGAAAATATTTTAATGAAACTTGATATATGGATAGATGGCAGTATGGAGATTATGCACGTCTTTTTCTTTTCTTCCTATGTTGAAAATTCTGGTTGCTATGGCAACAAATAGACTGAAAATATGGCAAATTTTACACATAACCTGGATCCCGCGATAAAGCAAAAAATACTGAAAATATTTTTATGAAACTTGATATATGGATAGATGGCAGTATGGAGATTATGCACGTCTTTTTCTTTTCTTCCTATGTTGAAAATTCTGGTTGCTATGGCAACAAATAGACTGAAAATATGGCAAATTTTACACATAACCTGGATCCAGTGATAACACAAAAAGTACTGAAAATATGTTTATGAAACTTGACATATGGGTAGATGGCAGTATGGAAATTATGCACATCCTTTTCTTATCTTCCTATGTTGAAAATTCTGGTTGCTATGGCAACAAATAGCCTGAATTTCAAGATTTCTGATTCTAGTTTTTAAGTTTTTTCACTATAAGTTCTTTATTTCTTAAGGTATTTTCTTCAAACTTTAAATATAAGTTGCTTGTCATCAACCACATCATATGTGACAAGGTTTACAACTCTAGCACAAAATTTATCAGAATTACCTCCCTTGAACTAAAATTTTCATGAAAAAAACATTTTTTTTTTTTTAATAACTTCTTTTTCTGAATGTATCTACTTCAAACTTCATATAAATGTTTCTTATTATCACTCAACATTTGTGAGTGTTCAATACTCTAGCAAGACTATTTCCAGAATTATGCCCCTTTTGAACTTAGACTTTTTTTTGAGAAATTGGTAATTTTTACTCCAACTTCTTCAATCATGATAGGATTTTAAAAATGTTATATTTTGATAACAGGGATGTTTAAAAAATAACTTTAGAGTGTCCTTCAGTCTGTCTGTCTGTACATAAAAATTGTTTCCTGTGATCACTTTTAAAGAACTTTTTCAACAAATTTACTTAAAATAGGAACCTAAGTGAATGGCCAATGGCCCTTCAAAATGTTTCTTGGGCTCTTACCGGTAGGGGACTTATGGATTGCTTGCAATACTATGATAATTGCTTGTTTATTTTGTTTCATGATGATTTATTTTATAGTACCATAATAATTGAGAACTTCTTTTCAGTAAATGAGACTGTTCAACTTCAGTAATGGGTTAGTCGTGAATAGCTTGCACAATGTATTCCATTATTTTTAGACCACAAGTCTTTGAATATTTCAAAACAGTGTCTTTTTTTAGTTCAGCCCATTGTTTTCTCTTTTAGGGCTCACAAATTCTTTTACTTTGGAACCATATGACGCTTTTCATGGATTGGCGCAAAAGTGTCACATTAAAGGTTCCATAAAAAACGCCGTAAAAACACATCTACAGATGTTTCTAAATTGAAAATTTCACCATTTGCGTGTGTAAATGTTGAATTCTGCTTAAGCCGGTGCTAGGGGGCGTGGACTGTTATTTGCTCTTTCCAATACCGTCATCAAACCAAGCCTGCAACATTTAAAATTTTGCTGTGTTGGGCTTTCTTTGGGGATTCTATTTTTTTCTCTATATTAGATGCAGGTTTGTTTGAATCATGTATTTCAGCATTAGCTATAAAAATTCTAAATATTCAAAACTTAATAAACAATAACAATTAATGAAAGAGGGTAAGGGAACATAAATGTTTCTTATAATGTAATTTTAGTAGATCTACTTTGTTTCAGATCAGAGATAACACGACTGCCTCATTAGCCTTTAACTGTAGTGAGAACGTTCCTTTAACGTTTCAGTCAAGCGGGAATACGGCCACGCTGACATTTCAATCCGACTCTGAAAGCTCTGGAAACGGATTTTATATCAAATATAGGCAGAGTAATGCTTCTTGCTGTTTTAGTTAATCTATCATTTTTTGCGCGATCAAAGCTGACACTTTTACTTTCAATTTTCGCACATAATAAATGTCTTTATTTCAAAGTATAAAGCTAGTTTAACTGATTTCTCAAGCATAGGTATTTGAGCAGAACCAGCATCAGTTATTCGTTTATTATTAAATTATTAGTTTTATATTATTTTTATTTTATTAATTATTTATTCTATTACTCTACTTCCTTTTATGATAAAACTATGTTTATTTATCATATCTTAGTTTAGGCACATTATCATACCAGTTAATTTATAATATCTCACAGAGTAAGTTTCTAAAAAAGCTTTTCAAGCATCCTATTCAATCCGTACATTTAATTATTTGTCAATTATCATGTAAATGAAATGTTTATAAATAAAATATTGTTTAAAATAATATCTTTATTGTTCAGTACCAATGGATACGTGTATATCAATGTCTGGAGAAAACATGCTACATTTAAATGCAAGCAACAATCCTTTTGATGAGTCATGCAACAAATTAAAAATATATCTTCAAGACGCAAGTAAGTCAGACTTATACAGGTATAATGATATGTGGTAAATTGATATTATGGCGTGTTTGCTTATATGTGAGTAAAGAAAATAATCGCCGAAACTTATCAAAATCTATGGAATTCTTACTGAATATGTCAAATATGAATAAAATAATGAATAAAATATGCATCGGAAGCTGTGTTCCTTATTACATGTCAAGTAACGTTTTAATTTCTTAAGAAAAACTGCCAGTTTTTTTAATGACACTCTATATTTATATTGTGTCTTCATTAAGTGTAAAGAGTTTAGAACATACTATATCTACTTTATGTGAAGTCAAACCATACTTATTTCATAAAAACAAAGAGACTGCAAAGCAATTTACAATATTTTCAAGTATCATATTTGAGTATATTATATCTTTAAATAATCACGCTTTTACGATGGCTCTTTATGTAAAAGAATAAGACTGTCTTGTGTAAAAGAATAATATAGTCTTATGTAAACAAATAAAACTGTCCTATATTTCTGGTAAAGATGCACATTATTTCCATCGTCCTTTCATTGGAAATCAAGTAGGTTTAGTCATAATTGATGAATTTTTATTCTTATAACCACTATTTTTAATAAATTTATTGTAAAGGAGACACTCTTGATGTTATGATTGACTACCTGGCAGATGGATGTATAACACTACTAGACAATCTCCAGCTGAACGTAACGTTATGTAATATCACTGAAAAACTACATTACGAAGTCCAAGGATACGTATGTGATTTTTTATGTGTTTGCCTAATTTGATGGACTACATTTTTCCTGCAGATATGCAATTACTTTAATTCCTTTATTAACTGAGTGGTATATTAACTTTGATCAACAGTTAAAATGATAGAATGTTTAAAAAGTTTCTGTTTTCTCGATTTACAATTACTGCAACATATGCATTATATTGTTCAATTTAAGTTCATTGTTTACTTTAAAATTTCAGATGGATATCAATATAGAATCGCTATCTACGATTTACCAAATAAAGACTCAAAAACGTTCATATGGTAAATTGAATCTTGTTTTTGCATTTTATTTTTATTTAAACCATCTGTATCATTTATGTCTAAAAAAACTACATGAATGTGTGAAGATGCTTTGAAAGGTGTAATACTTGACAAAATTAATAACCTATGAAATTAGTGAACATTTGAAATGGTATGACATTTCAAATTATTCAAAATTCAGACAGAATCCGAAATAAGTCTCATATTACAAATATACTTATGTATCCTTTTTTCTATTTATGAATATACAATAAAAATAGTGATTTCTTTTCAATCTCGAGCCGTATGGACATCTATGATATGTTGGTACCAAATGTTGTTGTAAGCTTTAAAATTGGAATCATGTCATGGTTATAATATAAACATTGACATAAAATGTTGAAAATGGTGTGGTCGTATCTGGAATAAAAGGTTAAGATTTGTAATTTCATAAATTACGTCTGATTAAAGTAATAGAACTCGAATAATTCTATATTGACTTCATTTTTTGATTTTTGTAGTTAGGTCAGTTCAAGAAGTGACTATTGATAATGCTGGACGTTTGCAGATATTGTCAGAAGGAGAGTTTGGAACCATGTGTGGTGATCTGGAACAATTTGCTGCAGATTTGATCTGCAAGTCCATGAATCATGGGTAAGCATTGCCAAAATGTCGGAGATTTAAACTTCAGGAAAAATTAATTGTGTAATGATTTAGCTGTCTAACTTATTCATAAAGTGAAAATGAAATTCGGAAAAAAGTCCACCATGTTTTATTCTCAACATATATTATCATAACAAAAATAATGAGAGAATTTTATCAGTATAACGATAATATTTTAATTAACGCTGAGCTGATGATCTACCAAAGAATAACATGCAACGAGACAAAAGGAGATCGGTCGTGCAAGATGGCCAAATTAAAGATGATGTTGGCTTACTTTGATTGAGCTGTTTATGGACGGCAGTAAGTAATAAATACATTCTGCTGCCAGCGTTCCCTAGCAACATCGACGTCATTTAAATATGTATATGGTGAAATTTGATGACTTTGTAAATACCATTTTGTGTTTCAGATGGCCGGCAAAGATAGAGAAAGGACTGACACTTCCTGAAATTCTTCCAAGACTTGCAAGTGATATTCAGTGTAACGGCGAGGAAGCACATATTACGCAGTGTCGTTTTGTTTTCACTCCGCTCGAAAGTGAAACGTGTATGGATAGCTTTTACACAAGGCAAATAATTAACTGTCGTAAGTGATTCAAAGTTTATGTAAATGTATTTTTGTTTAAGTGTTCTCTTCTTGAATGGCAGCATATTTATCTTATACAACTTATAACACATATTGAAATATTTTTAAGTTAGCGACAGTTATAAAATTTAGATGTATGTTTATTGTGCATTTGCGGTAAATGATTATGTTCCGAGCCAACAAAATACTTAAAAGGATATAATATAAACTGTTTAATTTGAAAAGTAAAAGAAAAGAAACTTTTGTTATTGAAAATGACCACAGACCTTTTGTATCGCCATTGATTCAGCTAATTAAATTAAATGTTAAACTTTTTATTATTCCTCATTTACAGAATTTTGTTCTGTTTCCAAGGGAAAACACCTTATCCATATTTTTAAGCTTCACAACGGCAGGTGTCAAATGCTGTGTAGCAGCTCTAAAAGTTGCCCCGTATTTCACTTCAGTGTTAATGTTGGTATATTTTTCTGGTACTTTGGGATCATTGATTCCAACAAGTGATGAACATTGCTAGGAGATTAGGGATGTTGTACTGTTTATTATCCCTCATGTACACACTCATTCATCCGAGTCTGCAATTTTCATGTAATTTTAATGCTTCCGAGGAATTACACTTAACTCAGATTTTTAAATGTTTTTCTATTCATTGCAGCACAAACGACAATATCTTGCGATTTTACAAAGTCTACATGTGGATATGTACTGGATGATCACGTCAAATTTTCACCTCTCTGTAAGTCTTTGACTTCTATTATTATAATGAATGTCAACTTCTTAAATCCTGTAAAGTAAATTCGCAGACTCGCTTTGCTTCAATACGGTTTATACTTACATTATATTGGAAATTTACCTACATGTCATTATAACAAGTCATTACACATAAAATTTACGTTGGCCTTTTTTGCTATGCTCCAAATTGTAAGCTTTAAGAATGCGTTTCACAACCTTTGTATATATGCTATTAATTAAGACTTTTGGTATGTATCTTTTATCAAATGGATAACGTTTAAAGTAACGATAATAAATAAAAAAGACTATTATCTATATTTATCTAGATGGTCTATATCACGTGGGTACAAACCATTTCTCAAATGGTGTCGCAATGTCAATACCTTTCACTTACACGACTGGTGTGTATATGTATGTTGAATACATCATTAGAAGGGGAGATATCGGTGCTGGTATAACTATAAATTTAGTACAATCATCTAGTAATGCATCCTTTGCGGTATGGAAATGGCAATCGTTTCAGACATACGGTATCTTCAAAGGTAAGTTACACCCAAATTATTATATTTATGGTTTTTAAACCAGTGTATGTGAACGATAAGTCAACAGTGTTGTTAAAGAATATAATACAAGGTTTAAGACTTTTGCCGGCGTTCACATCATGCTTTATACATCATTGTTTGGCTGAAATGTCTTAGTTCTTGGCTATCATCCAAGGGTACCATATGTTTATGTTTATACTATACGATTATAATTATATAATAATATATTCTTTTTTAAAGATGTCTGGTACCACTGGATAAAAATGTTTGATAAGTAGTCGGTCAATTACGGAGAAATTGATGTTTTCTCATTACTTATCCAGGAAAGTCTATCAGGTGGATCAACCGCCTTATTTTGACAAAAAGATTTGTTACAATTTGAGTGAAACCCAAACAAGCAAAACACACAAGTTAATGTCCGGACTGTTATACATTACATATCTTGTTATGTTGTCAACTGCAGCTTTAAATAGTTGTTTCTTTATTTAGGATTGTACACTTAACATTCTACATAGATTATACTACAGTTGTTTCATAAAATATACAATAAGGAAAATAAACACTTTTTTCTTTTCAATTTAAGGATGCACTAAAATGCCCGTGTTAAACACAAATGAAGATGATTTGTACCAACTTGTAATTGAATATACATCTGGAGATATTCAGTTTACCGATCCATCAAACGAATATACTGGACTGAAGAATCTAGAATTATCATTCGAAATGTGTACAGGTAACATTTTGCTTTACATATATTTTAATAGAGTTCAAGGAAAAAAATGTATAACCTGCAAAGCAGAATTTAATATCAATTGTGAGGTCTAATTAGACAAAAATTACGATCAGCTACAATAAGTGTTTAGCTCAATCTTGTGTTTAAGGTGAACCTGAGAAATTGATGAGCTCTTTCGAAGATCTTGACATTTGTGCTCATTTCATCAATGTTGATTACATATCATGTCCTGGGAGACAAAACAATAATGGAACTATAACCGTCACGTCAAGACGTTCATATTCACCCAACGAATGGATTCAAACAGACCATTCATACAGAAACAAGACAGGTACATTATTTGATTCCAAATTCGTACATTGCTTATATTTAATAAATACAATTATCATTGATATAATTAGTTAATTCCTTTTAAATTAATGATTTTAAAACATGCCTAAATTGGTACATGTTATTGTTTTAAGTTTTTATATTTCTTTATACTTTATATTATAGCTATATCTCTTTTTGCATAATTGTTTATATAACCTGACCATGCGAATTCGTTATATGCCTTATATTTTATATAGATTTGTTTTATTATTATAGGTCATTATTTACTCGTTGATGAAGGAACGCTCGTGCCTTTTATAAAGTTGTCCAACATACCTAGTCAGCTGAACTTTCTGCGATTCTTTTTCGGCATTAGTAATGGGGTTGATGCAAAGAAAAATGCGGTATCAGTAATAAACAAAATACAATCTGATTAACTTCTATAAAAGAACTGATTTTTTTTTGTATATGTACACTTGGAATTAAAATCTTAATAATGTAATAATTAAAACAGTTTAAACAGTAGAATTAAAATAGATTAATAGAATTAAACGTATGTTTCATTATCTTTTCAAAAAGATATTTTTTAAAGACAAAAAGCAATTGTAAATAAAGAAAAGTCTTTCAAATAAATTATAATGCCCCTATAACAAATGATGCTTTTACATCTCACTTCAGACGTTATCGTTGTCAGCAGATGATCAGATCATGTTTGAGACATCAGCGACGGGCTCTGGTTGGACTGAAGCTTGTATTGATATCTCTAATATCAGAAGTGCAAATATGATAAATATGGACTTTAGTGAAACAGGTAATTCAGTGGAACAGCACATAATTGAGCCGCGTCACGACAAAACCAACATAGTGCGTTTGCGACCAGCATGTGCATCCGCGCAGTCTGGTCAGGATCCATGCTGTTCGCTATCAGTTTCTATACTTGTAATAGAGTTGGTAAGCGAGCGGCATGGATCCTGAAAAGACTGCGCGGATGCGCAGGCTGGTCTGGATCCATGCTGGTCTTAGACACATTATCTTGGTTTTGTCATGGCGCGACTCATATTATATTGAATCTATTACCCGCCTTACGACTTATTCTTGTATCTCATGTTAAGTACATTTAATAATTTATAATTGATTTTGATAAATTTAAGGTATGCTTTAAAATATATATTCATTTATTGTTCTCAAATCGTGTACATATTTTGCAGGGTATTTAGAACGGAAGACGGCATCCTTGGCAATAGACGACCTAAGCTTGTCATCTGAGCCTTGTGCATGTAAGTAAACAACTGCTAACTTCTAACATATAATAAATGTAAGATTTCTTGATGAAAATAAATTCAACATAATTTTGTTTCATTTTCCTTTAAGAGAATAAATTGCCTTACTTATTAAGTATTTTGCGTACATGCATTGTATCTTATTCCAAAAGTCATTGAGTAAATGACTTAGTTCATTTGTCAGTTTATTTTTAAGGTAATTGTTATTGGCCGAACATATTAGTCTGTTAATCTAATTTATAGAAAGTAAGTCTTCGGAAAAATGGAATTGATTTACAGAATGGATGCACGTGATTTTATTTTGATTCAACTTATTTTAGATTACATGAACTGTGATTTTGAAAGTGATTGCAGCATGAACTATAACTCGATCATATCTGATGATGAAAAAGAATATTCCTGGATATTAGAGAAAGCAGCAGACGACGTAAATGACGGAAGTTATATGCCAAGTTCTGATGCGACATACAGAACTATAAATACAGGTACAAATGTAAAAGTTGCATTTAACATGTGTTATTTTGTCAATGAATTAATAGCTATATAATATTAAATATGAAATACTATTCTTAGTGTTGTATCTCCCAGTTTTAGACACATCTTATTAAGTTTCATTTAATAAAGGCTATTGTTGAAGATTTATGTCATATTCAGAGTGTTTTGTATTTCTAATACTTTTCAAGCATTCCCTGACTCTGCAATATTTGCTTTAGTTGTACGATATATCAAGCTTACCACCGCAATTTTAACACGAATTACCTTATTGCTATTGTTTCGTAATAATGATGTACAATACTGCAGTGTTTATTAGTTATACCTTACTATTTTCTTGTTTTCTTCTTATGAATTGTCATAATAGAAAAAACACGTAAAGGCATGGATAGAGGTTGTTAATGTTTTTTAGTTTACTACATAGGTTCATATATGAGAGCTGACTTTTCCGGTGCCGAGGAAGGTGCTTTAGCTGTGCTGAAGTCACGTGCTATTGATGAAACAGATTCTATCAAATGCATCAACTTTCAATATTACATACATGGGAATAAAAACCCTGGATCATTAAAGGTAAATTTTGTATTCCTGCTCTTAAGGAACTCAACTGAGGTCCTAAGGCCTATAATATAAAATCTGAAAATCTAACAAATATCATGAGAAGCTCTTAAAATGGAAAAAAATCTGCACAAATAATTAAAGAGAAATATTCTCAGAATTGAATCGATTAGAATTCGATTTTCAAGCTGGAATTTAGTGAATAGCGTTTGCAAATTATAATTTGCTCACTAGTAATTGGTCTAGACCTACAACAATTCTTTTACATATCTTAGAAAAAAATCAGTCCCGTCATGACAAAAACCTTAGTGGAATCCATTTATACTTCTTCTTCATACTAAGCCCATCAAGTTTCACAAATTTTATATTGCGATTGCCTTTGCCTTGTTGATTTTCGTTCTCGTTATGCCCCCACAATGTGGGAGCATATAGCGTTGCACTTGTCCGTCCGTCCGTCAGTCCGTCCGTACGTCCCGAAATCTTATGAACGCAACTCCTCTTAAACCGGATGGCAGATTTTGCTTAAACTTACAGGGATGAACAACCTTAATGTGTAGATGGTAGTAAAGGAAGGAATTTTTACTGCGACCAAATTTAACAGAATTATGGCCCTTTGTTGATTTTTTTCACTAGATACTATGTAGAAATTTTGTGAACGCAACTCCTCTTAAACCGGATGGCAGATTTTGCTTAAACTTACAGGGATGAACAACCATAATGTGTAGATGGTAGTAAAGGAAGGAATTTTTGCTGCGACTAAATTTAACAGAATTATGGCCCTTTGTTGATTTTTTCACTAGATACTATGTAGAAATTTTGTGAACGCAACTCCTCTTAAACCGGATGGCAGATTTTGCTTAAACTTACAGGGATGAACAACCATAATGTGTAGATGGTAGTAAAGGAAGGAATTTTTGCTGCGGCTAAATTTAACAGAATTATGGCCCTTTGTTGATTTTTTCACTATATACTATGTAGAAATTTTGTGAACGCAACTCCTCTTAAACCGGATGGCAGATTTTGCTTAAACTTACAGGGATGAACAACCTTAATGTGTAGATGGTAGTAAAGGAAGGAATTTTTGCTGCGACCAAATTTTACAAAATTATGGCCCTTTGTTGATTTTTTCACTATATACTATGTAGAAATTTTGTGAATACAACTCCTCTTAAACCGGATGGCAGATTTTGCTTAAACGTCCAGGGATGAACAACCTTAATGTGTAGATGGCAGTAAAGGAAGGAATTTTTGCTGCAACCAAATTTAACAGAATAATGGCCCTTTGATGATTTTTTCATTATATACTATGTAGAAATTTTGTGAACGCAACTCCTCTTAAACCGGATGGCAGATTTTGCTTAAACTTCCAGGGATGAACAACCTTAATGTGTAGATGGTAGTAAAGGAAGGGATTTTTGCTGCGACCAAATTTAACAGAATTATGGCCCTTTGTTGAGTTTTAGTTTTCAACTTGTGGCACATGTAGTCCAAAAAATATTTGACCTAGAGTCATAAGATTGACAGAACAGTGGCGTGTGGGGGCATCCGTGTCCTATGGACACATTTCTAGTATTTTATGTATATGTATAGCCCTTATCATAGTTGATAAACATTCATACATTTTGATTCTAGAATTGTATGTTAGGTATTTTTTGACAGATTTTACTTTAATTTAAGGTTACTGTCAATATGGGAGTAAGCGGATCTGAAGGTTTTGAAGTGCCAGATGACAAATTCGAAGACAAATGGCACATGTACAAAGTGTCCATTGCACATAATGTACGCTATTTAGAGTTTGAAGCAGTGAAAGGGATTGGCGAAGGAACTATTGCCATTGATGACATCAACTTTACGACATGTAATGGTATGTTCTGTTTTACATAAATATCTGTTTTGTTAAATGAACAATTTTAATACCTTCTTCATCCATGTAGATTGATCATAGATATAAACAGAAAATGACTTTCTTCATCAATCGTTATTGTTTTGTTTATCCACCGTGTTTAATTTGTTGTTAAATATTGCTCTTAGGTTTCCGATGTTTCGAAGCTGATTTGTTATGTCATTTCCAAATGAATAAATACTGCAAATATGAAAATACATAAAATGAAAAAGTTATGTAAACTTATGAAGCAGAACGTTTGTTTTAAGGTTTAGATGGGCTAGACGAGTTGGAATACTGTACGTTTGAAGATTTGGAGCAATGTGGAATCGATGATTTCAGTGACGGTTGGAGGAAAGGAATAGCAAAAGATTTACCGCAGTATATAAAGTTTGATGCTGATTTGACCTCAGATGGTAAAATTTGAACATTTTGAAATATCTTTTGTTTCATATTCTGAACTGTTTCCTTATTATTGTATTTTATTTCGTATCTGTCAGTAAGTTACTAAGATTCTTGTAAAATATATCTTTTTATATCCGAAACTTTTATTTTCGGAATGAAAATTGCATTTCTGAACATGTCTAAATATGTAATTATGAAATTATAAAAAATATATACATTAATTTCGGTTTTAGCGAACACAACTTGCTTTCATTCTCACAATTGATCTTTTCCAGGATATGTCTATTACATTACTCCTGCCATGATACCAGACCAAAACGAGGCTCTTGTTCGTTTTGAGGTGAAGACGAATAAAACTGCCTTCCAGTTTTCTTATATATTTACTGGCGAATCCGCGGCAAAATTCTTTACTGAAATAAACGACCAAAGAAAATACATCGATGTTCAGATTGCAGACGCTTGGATTGTATCAGAATGTATTTCTGTTCCAAATGAATATGACGGAGATATAATCATCGGACTTGAGAGTGAAGACATTGGTGTTAGTTTCCTAGCCATTGACAATGTAAGGCTGCTTCATACAGAAAATTGTGAAGGTCAGTGTCACGTGATTAGTCAAAGTATTATTTAAGCATTAAACATTTCTTATAATTTAATTTGTTTTTTTTTAAATGAAATGCTTTGAGCAGAGTCAGTCTCTTTCCACAACCTTGCTCTATTTTATACATTATCACATTGTAAAGGAATTTCATTGTATACTTTTCCTGGTCACCTTTAAGCTTATTGGTTTGACCGTTTTTCATTTACTTTATACCTAGAATACATACATGTAGACATATTTTGCTGCATTTACTGCGTGTATCACAATCACGATACCGACAGAAAAGCAAACCATATTATATACAAGTGTGAGGCCTGATGACTTTGCTGACATTATATCATTACGTAATAGTTTATTTTTATACTCTAAATCTGAGGAATAATAAAAGGGGTCCTTTAGAGGGATCTTGATATATTGTGTTTGGCTCTAAACGGATGAAACAATGGATTCTTTCCAAGTAAAATCATCCCGAAACAAAGTACAATTGCCATATCAAGATATCCCTATAATAACTCTTTAAATTAATAACCTCTTAATTGACTTATGATTTATGTTTTACAATTAAATTTATATTCATAATTATTAGGAAAATATTTCACCTAATGTCTCTCGTACAATTTCACTTTCAGAATCATCTCTTACTTGCAATTTTGCACTTGAAAAGGAATGTAATTTCAAATCAGATAAGAGTTCTTGGACATTTTCGGATAAGTTCGTGGCTACTAGATCCGGAGTTTTGCATGCACCTATTGTGGTTTCAGAAAATGGCACGCAACATTGTTTCGCGTTCATTTACAAACTTGTAGCAGTTGATTCAATTGATACGCCACCGAATTTATATTTGTACAAAGATACTGTAGAATTATGGAAGAGTCAAGGTCATGTTGGATTGCCGACCAAAACTTCAGGACAAGTGACAGTAGACGGGGGTGTTTTAAGGCTACAATTTGCAAGCAAGGGTTCAGGATTGTTCGAAATATACGAAACAAAATTGACCTCGGGTGGTTGTGTAAATATAGCCGGTGAGAATACATTTCAAAAGTAAATTGTTTCATATTTTAACACTGTAGTTTGTATATAGCACTGGCATATCTCAATCTTGAAATGATATGTTTGCTAACAAATACAGGTCTAAGATAAATATTTCCCGTAACATCAAACAACGAAAATTCTGGAAAAGTATTTGCAATTAGATGATATTATATTACTCTTTGCTTTTAAATGTACAAATAGGTTAAATATTAGATGCAGTCATATACAAAAAAAAATTCTTATTATTTGACAGACTGCTCTGAGTTCCTATGCAGTGATAAATGTCTTCCAAACGACAGAAAATGTGATAGAACAGTAGATTGTGTATCCGGAGAGGACGAAAATGAAGATTCGTGTGGTAAGTAAAGTATTATGTACTCCAGGACAAAGTAAATATGATGTACAGTAGTGATGAATATCCGATTAAGATCTTATGATACCTCAAAGGTGACACATTATAAACTTGAAGTGAAATGTTTGACGCCGCCAATGGCAAGATAGATTTTATCATTGGCATTGTATTAATGTATTTATGTTTAGTAACAGGATACACAATAAAAATAAAAGCCATTGATTATTAATCCTAAAATTCATAGTAATGTCTTTTTTCAGGATTCAAATTCGATGTAGATTTTTCGGAAGTTACAACTTTATCTTCAACTGGATTTGAAACTCCTCTTACGTCAAACAATGCATGGAAGTTGTTGTCCAATTCAACCATTGTTGTTGATGAGTTTGAAATAAGCATTTCTGAGCGTAAGTTAATTAATGAGTCAAACTTTTATATCTCGATCTTGCTGACTTTGACATTTGTTTTCATTAATAATGTTATGAAAAATTGTCAGAAGTTATTTATACTGGTGTTACAAATCTTTATGACTTTAAATTATATTGATTTTGTAACCTTTCAGTTTGTATTGTCAAAATCTTCATTTAGGTAATCTGTAAAAGTAGTCAGTGACTTCCTTTATTCGCTTATCGTAACTTTTCATTTCATTTCAACCCAAAGAAATAATGATTGCTTTTGTAAGTTGAATGGGTATTTCAAAGTGTTATTAGTAAAAAAACAACTTTTTTATTACATTAATTTTCGGCAGGTAATATTGTTAGGTAAAAACGGTTATATGGTTTTACAATGAGCTTTCAGGCGACTGTTATAATTGCAAACAACCGGTTAATCATGGTTATATAACCTGTCAAACATCTTTATAACGAATTTGATAAATCAGCACAATGGCCACATTTAAGGTAAAATGAAAATTACTTCATAAGTGTACAAGTATTTATAAATAAAGATTACATCAACGCTAAGTTTATCCAATGAAAATCTACCTTTCAAACGTGCAGTATTAAAAGTAATGATATAAAATTACTTCATAAGTGTACAAGTATTTATAAATAAAGATTACATCAACGCTAAGTTTATCCAATGAAAATCTACCTTTCAAACGTGCAGTATTAAAAGTAATGATATAAAATTAATCCATACATGTACAAGTTTTTATGAATAAAAATTATATCAACGCATATATTATCCAATGAAAGACTAGCTTACAAACGTGCAATATAAAAAGTAATGATATAAGTAAGTAATAATTTGTACTTATTAAAAACATTTTTTTTAACATAAATAAATAAATCATTTGCAGAAATACTTGTGACATATTTTACAAAAGTTAATCCAAAGCCAAGTATTCTAGAATCATTTGAATATCACCTGGATGAGGAGTCGTGCATACAGATAAATTACTTAAGTGACGCGGCATTTGGCAAGGTTGAACTTAACTACCAAGCAGATAACGACGAGAAACACACTGAGACTGTTTTTCAAATAGAACCGTCCACATCTACAAGACATATTTCTGTAAGTAAAAGACAATATATCTTGAGCAAAAGTATTAGTTATACATAGGTTCCATTTAATCATAACAATTATTTTCGATTTACCACGAATATATATAGATCTCGTATCAATGTTATCTCGATCTTCGTAGTTTAGTTTAAACGAGATAACAAAATATATGTTCTTCCTTCCGTGTTTCTATTTGGTTCTATGGTTAAATTCAACACAGGGTGATGAATAATTCAAGAAAATTAAGGTGCTGGTGTTTTATGTTAGAATATGATGTCAACTTATACACTTTATTTTCATTTTAATATCACATGAGAGTAAAACTGAATACATACAAATATTTATCTAATTAACATTTGCAGGTGCCTGTCCAAAGTGGTAATGTAAGAGTCCTATTGTCAGTATATATGCTAAAGTTACATCCCATCTACAGTGGTCATATTCAGTCGTCCGCTGTATTTGCAATCAAACAAATCATAATGCATGCTGGGAAATCATGTCAAGAACTTTTTGTAGGCAAGTTTCAGTTTCACATCTTTGCTGTTTTTGCTGTGTTTTTTTTTAAACATAATCAAGTTAATGTTGATCTTCTTTGCAATCATACTATAGATTTAATTTGTTTTTAAGCCCGTAAATCTTTAATTTGAGAATATGTTATGTACAGTATAAAAAAGACAAATACCATCTTGTTCTGTACATGAACGCAGAAGAGATATTCTGAATAAATATACAAGATGCAATGAAAATGTTGAATTTTTTCAAACACGCAAAGATGTAAATGTTGCATGTTTGGCTTATGATCAGCACGCAGCCCCTGCCGCCGATATGAGCCGCATTTAAATTTTAACAAGATTTATAAATTGTGTTTATCGGAAAAGGAAAAAATTGTCTTACCTGACAAGACGTATACTTTTATGAAACACTAGAGGTAATGCACGTTTCATCGTGCATGAACATTTGCAGAAACACTCAGAATTATTTAATTCGTGCGTTACGATTTAATATTAATAAATACACATTGACAAACTGTACTACTTACTTTTAGACTGCCCAGATGACATTCCAAACATGTGCTCTGACAAGCGTTCATGTTACACTGATGAGAAGAAATGTGATTTGATGCCAAGTTGTTATGATAATTCAGACGAAGTTGATAATTGTGGTAAGTAGAAATCTACTTATAATGTAATTATATTTTTATTATATTATTTATAAAAGCATAGCCGTTAAAGGAGAAGGAAACATACGTGAATATATTTTATTTTAAGTGCATGATGACAGCAAAAATATGAGATAAAAACCAATATATATGTTCATATAGCAAAAATTAACATGACAGTACATAAAGAGATAAAAAATGACAAATCACTTCTTAAAATTCGGAATAAAATCTTATTATATTTCCGTATCTTTTTTACCGGTTGAATATCATTAAACATATACATATGACATACGTATAAATTTATGAAAGAAATGGCATAATCATCAACAACATTAAGCTTAATTTTAAACGAGTGGACAAACTAATACCAGTGCCTTGTGAATTATTTGTGAAGTATTTGTGTATACATGTACATCACGCACCTTTTAAAAGAACATTGTATTCCTTGTTTAATGGAAAAACACAATAGGTACAAATGTTATTAAGTACTACTAAAATAATAAAGTCACAGCAATAACACGTATAATATCATTTTTTATTTTTCCAACGTTTCGGCAAATGTATGCCTTTTTCAAGGTAAATAAATAATAATAATATCAACGGACGTGACGTCGTAATTTTACAATTAACGTCACGCCCACTTTAGCGGAAAAACGAACAAATACGAACAATTCCAATTCATGATAAAAGAGATAAGTGCACCAAACAAAGCATCAAAATATAAAAACGACACAATAGATATCGGATTAATAAATACGAATATTTCCTATAGGGTTTAATTATAAAAAATGATAATAGGAAAAAACGAATATCTATGTGGCGTAATTCTAGCATTTGTAGCGTGGATTGATATTTTATGAATTATTTAATTGAGTATAACAACTTTGTGTTCATTCCTTCTGGAAAATGAGTTTTTTAGCTTATGAATCCAAAATGTTTCTTTGCACAAAACGATCTAAAGTATTGTAAACAACATCTATGGGCATAAATGAAAAGTCGGTAAAATTATGATCGTCCTTATTAAAATGATTTGCAACATTAGTGGAGAATGCAGGATCTACAAAATTGCATATATCAAATTTATGGCTATTCATTCGTTTAGACACAGGTTGTTTGGTTTGACCAACATACTGCATGCTACATTTTTTTACATGTTATCAAATATATACAATTCTTGGTTTGACAGTTAGTATGTTGACGTAAGTCAAATATCTCTCCTGTATTTGAACTGTAAAATGACGTACCACTATTAATACGAACACAATGAGAACAGCGTTTTTCTACAACAACCTCCAGAATGTGATGTAAAGTCACTGTCAGTATCAAATCTAGATCTAACTAAAAAGTCTTGTAAGTTTCTTGGACGTTTATAGGCAATTATGGGTGTGTAGTTATTGTGAATATTTTTAACACCTTCGTTTTTTGACAGATTTAGTAGGTCCCAATATTTATGAATAGTATTTCCAATATTAGGTAAGGACGGATTATATGTCACAATAAATGAGAAGAACGTTTTTTCTTTTCTTTATCTTGTGGCCGTAAGGCATCCTCTTGTGTGACATCTGTGACACGTGAAGAAACGCTGAATCTATAACCCGTCTCAGGGAAATTTCTACTTATGAAGAATTCTCGTAGTTTGCTCAGTGAAGTAGAGAACACGTCGTCGTCGGATATAATTCTCCTGTAACGCTTAGCCTGACTGTGGGGTATTCCGTCTTTACACCGTTTTGGATGACAGGATGTATAATCAAGATATTGGTGGTTGTTAGTTTCCTTTACATAAAACATTAGTTTGAAGTTCGTACGATTTTCCTTTTGATACTTGAACATCAAGAAACGAAACAGATTGTTGAGATATGGTGTGGGTGAATTTAATGCTTGGGTGAACATTGTTGATTTTGTCAATAAATGTGTTAAGTTCTTCAAGAGAATGATCCCAAAGCATAAAAATATCGTCTAGAAAACGAAGCCACAATGACGGTTTAAGCTGACTATCTTTCAAAAACTCCTCTTCGAATTTCCCCATAAAAAGTGCTGCGTACGCGGGGGCGACTGGGCTTCCCATAGCGGTACCCCATTTTCTGAAGAAAATAGTCGTCCCCGAACTTGAAGTAGTTATTTTCAAGAATAAGTTTCAAAAGTTTAACAATTTCATCTGACGAAAGTCTGCTGTTATTATTTCCTTGTCTTAAATAATACAAACACGCATCAGTTCCATCCGTATGTGGTATATTAGTATAAAGTGAAGAGACATCTAGTGTTACCAAATATGTGTTTTTGCTTTGTAGTTTAATATTACGTAATTTGTTGATGAAATCTGTGGTGTCTTTTACATATGATGGCAATCTAAGCATATGTGGTTTAAGTATAAAGTCGAGATACTTTGAAATATTTTCTGTCGGTGAGTTACATCTCCACTAATGTTGCAAATCATTTTAATAAGGACGATCATAATTTTACCGACTTTTCATTTATGCCCATAGATGTTGTTTACAATACTTTAGATCGTTTGTGCAAAGAAACATCTGGATTCATAAGCTAAAAACTCATTTTCCAGAAGGAATGAACACAAAGTTGTTATACTCAATTAAATAATTCCTAAAATATCAATCCACGCTACAAATGCTAGAATTACGCCACATAGATATTCGTTTTTTCCTATTAAGTACTACTAGCATATGATCTTGACTCGTTACGGATTATAGATTTTATAAGTACAAAGAGATAATTATGGTTAGTAATTTGATGAATTTTGTGCACTGTAATATGTTATTTAAGGTTATGGAATAGTGTGTGATTTTGAGCACTATTATATGTTTTTTCAGGTTATGGAATAGTGTGTGATTTTGAGCATAAGAACCTTTGCGGGTATACAAATAATACTGTTGCTAGGACGTACTGGGATGACCGTGACGTCATAGAAATGAAACAGAGCCTGTGGGAGCGTACTGCAAGTATGACAATTACCAGACCACCCACTGACCATACCTATCAAGTTTCTGGTAAAGGTAAGAATAAAACATTGATATTGTAACTGAAAAGTAATATGAGATTAACAAAAAAAAATAGAAAAGAACAAAAGAAAAAATAAAGCAAACAACAAAACGAAAAAACAACACCCCCATCAAACACAACAACAACAACAACGACCCCAAACAAACAGAAAAGATCGCAGATTTGGTAATAGAGATAATACCTTATAATAGTATATTGTATATTTACCTAATAATAGTATATTTATTACATACCGTTCTGCGTTTCCGACTCATTAAAAAGGTACGTACGCAAATGAGCGTGATAACGTGATTGAATAATGTGTATACGTTAAAAGTAAATAAAATTGATAAAAATATAAATTCACTGGAAACATCAATATAATTCATTGCATAATTTAATTTGATTCCATAAAGGTCATTTTATGACGTCAAAGAACCATGAAGGACTATTGGACGAGATACGTTACGTTGATGTTGAGACAATGACGTCACCATTCCAGACGTTCATTGAGGATGGTTGTGTTACATTCTGGTACTATTTAAACAGTACATCTCATCAACCAAAGTCCACATCAGCTCAGATATTTGTGTATTTACAATATAAGGACACTACAGAAAAACAATTGTTGTGGTAATTTACATCAAAACTATACCATCTATAGTTATTAATTTTTTTAACGATTTGAAAGAAAAATAAAACAAAAAGGTTTTATCAACATTTAATGTGGTCTGAATACGGAATTTATTTAATCATTTAAAAATGATACTATCACTGATGCTAACACAAAGCCTTTAAGCAGTTCTCTTTTGTATTTCGGCATTTAACATTTCATAATTCACTTTGAAATAAAGAAGATCAATAATTCCTGACTTATGTTGATTAATTGTAAACAAATATAATTACATTTCACTGCTCATCTTATTAGGTTCGATCATATCAATCGACCATTTCCGACATGGAGTCAAGGTGGTATATCTGTGGAGGGCAACCGTTCAGCCAGGCTGATTGTAACAGCAAAAACGTCGATACCGTATGACGCATACACCGGCGTTGTTTCTTTTGATGATGTTGAATTTATATCAGGAGACTGTCTTATTCCAAAGCTTGGTAATTTTACATATCATATTGAGACTAATTCGATAGAGAGATATAATCTATTAGATATTATGAGAACATTTCCGCAGTGGTTGGTATGCATTTTCAGTGTATTAGATTTTTTTTAACGTCGGTTCATTAATATGATGTATCTTGATAAATGAAGTTGGTTGACGAATCTTTTTATCATATTATGATGTGATATATTTTAAAGATTTTTATCATATAGTAATATTACTTATTATAAAGTTTTTGTAAAAAGCAATTTATGTAAAAGAATGTAACTGTACATTTATAAACTTTTGATAGTTATTTACATTATATCTGTTTATTTTGATAATTTAAATGTTTACATCAATTTAAAATGTTTGATATATTGATGTATTTATTTTTTAAAAATAATGATATGTTTATTTGAATTTAATTCATTATTCAATAGGTTTAACTTAAACAAATTTGATTAATTGATAATGAGACATTCACACCATATTAGTTTTATATAAACTAAAAAACTAGTAGTTATATAAATATGATACATATTTATATAGATGAAACAGTTAAAATAAATTTAATTTATTGATAAATATACATTGACATAATATTTTTCCACGTTCACTAATAAATTAACATTGACATTAATTTTAAAGATGTATATATTTCCACCAGACTGTGACGAAGATATGTTCAAATGCTATGAGGACAAAGTTTGTATACCTAGAAGTATGGTTTGTGACGGTGGTCCTGATTGTTTAGATGCTAGTGATGAACTTCATTGTGGTAACTTAATGAATTTTTTATTATTATATCTATAATAAACATTGTTCGTATGTCATTTCTTTCATGACATACATGTGATGTTGTTAGTGAACATATGCAGTTTTACTACGACTGCTAATTTCCTGAACAAATCTCATCAATATGTAAGTGTTATTGTCATGGGCTGGTACTGTTCACTTTTAAGAAAAGACTATGTGTAAACGCGGAATAGCTTGATCGGTATAACCACGGAACGGTACTCCGAGGGTCCCCGATTCAATTCAAGTTCATATTTTACTCACCCTGTTACATTTGGCGCCCAACGTGGGGTCTTGGCTGCATATAGCTCAGTGTTTAATTAACATTGCTCTTTTAGAAAATTGAGATTGAATTTTGATAAAGCGGCGGGGGGAGTATGTCACGGTTCAGAGTATGTCACGGTTCAGAACTGTTCATTTTAGGTGAGGTGTGTAAGAACCGAATTGCTCAGTCGGTAGAGCCCCGAATGGTATTCCTTTGGTCCCAGTTTCGAGTGACGGTCAGGCTGCATATTTTATCTCTCCCTGCGACAAAACTATTTTTAGTTCTAAAATAAGTTCGTTAAACTAGTCTTCAATTGAATACATTTGTTTAAATCAATTCTACATTTGTCATGTATCGAAAAATTATCACCAATGATTAAAATGTTTTAAATTCAAATTCTATAGGATATCCACATTCTTTCTAGATCGACCAGACGGTGCAGTGCAGCTAGTTGGCGGGGACGGCACGTACGGAAAACTTGCATATTTCTACAATGGTGTATGGCGCCCTGTGTGTTACCCTACCACCGACTATGAACAATCTTTGTTTAAGTTACATACAGCACACTATGTTTGTAAACAACTACACTTCAGGTATGATTTAATGCATGAAATATGTTGCACATGTTTTAAAAATACACGGATCATTAACTTAACTTATATTTTGAGCATACCAAGACCGTGTAGTATAGGTATTCCTGCAATCGTGAGACAAATAACATGTTACAAGGAAGGAATTGATAGTTACTACTACAAAAGTGGCGATGTTCCAAATATCTAATAAACATACGTGTATTTCTGTTTTGAACTTATGAATGGCCGACGATTTATAGCCAACAAAACTAAATGTCTTGGATACGATATTTAAGATGTTCTGTATTGTCGCATACATTTCAAGAGTAATGTGTGTATGTTTAACATTTACTGTAATATTTTATGATAATTAGTTATTTATCCTTATATTTTAATTTAATTACATATATCTTAGGGGGAACTCGGATGCCTTTAGTTACCGACTATGGGAACAACATAGTCCGACACAGATACAACTTTCGTGTGAGGAAGATGGTTCGTGTTCTGCACGTGCAACTGTCAATGAATGCAACATGTATGCCTATATAAGATGTTCAGACGATGGTTAGTCATTTTCTTTTCTTTAAACTTAAAACAAATTAAGTAAGGAAAGGAAACAATATCAAATTTTAAGTGAAGCTAACAGTAAATGTGCTGATAGCTCTTTAATTCTAATATTGATGAAAGCTACCTGGAATTTGTTAATGAAAACTTAGTAAGAAATGAAGTTGAAAGTTATTGCAGAAATGTTATCATTTCCTTTATTATATGTCTTTTTTTAATCCAATATGTTCGCACGCCCTTTAGCCAATAACGAAAGCTGACATATATTAGGTCCTGAGGGTCCTAGAAGAGCCCGTTATTTACGTTTCAGTTCACGAATACATGTCTTATGATATTTGTTTTTCGGCTTTATTTAGATTATTGCGGGAAAAAAATGTGTAAATACGGGAACAAAATGTAAATCTGCATAAACTGAAATTGTGTAAATAATGATACTCAGTCTTACAAAAATCAAACTGTCTTGCACTTATTATAATTTATAATGATAAATGTTTATTATTGTAGTTTGTTTCTCCGGTGAAAGATTATGTCCAGGGACACGTGCTAAATGTGTTCCTGAGTCGTTCTTTTGTGATGGTCAGCAGGACTGCCCAGAAAACATGGACGAGAAACAGTGTTGTAAGTTTGCATTACTTTTACAAAGCTTTTTTATGAGATTTCGAAAATTATCAATACGATGTAGGTCACATAGCACTGTTTTAAACTGAGTAAAACACAGAATTAAGGTTACAGTTCTATAATTTATTGCGAGGCAAGAATTATCGCACTTGAAAATATTAAAAGATTCACACTTCACTGAAATCAAAGAAGGGTCCTCTGTAATCACTTAATAACGATGATAATTACTTTAATTCTTATTACACACACCTTTGCAGTATGCTTTGAAGGTGAAGATAAGTGCTTACATATACCCGATGAGTGTAAAGATCGACAATGTGGTAAGATAAATATGTTGTAAACGTACTATAATTACCATTTCATTTTCACAAATAAAGAAATTAATTTAAGATTAAAAGGAATGAAATGAAACATAAAACAATAAGACTTTAATAAAACATATGGTAACAAATCATTGAAGTGTTGTTTGAAGGTTTGATTCAAGCACGGAAGTGTTGAAGATTTAATTCCGCTTAAGCCGGTGCTGAGGGGTGTGTGTGTGTGGGGGGGGGGGTTTGGAAGGTAATGTGAATTTACTGGATCAATTCTGAGTCTGCACTTTTCATGTAATATATTTATTTCAATTGCTTCCGAGAGATCTACGTTTTCCAAGATTTTAGTATCATTTAATTCAATAAAAATAATTATTATTATATATTTGATGAACGTTTTGTACTTCTATGATTTTGACATTAATCATTATTGATGTAACAAACCAAGTACAAGCATATGACTTTAAGGACACAGAATTGTTCATAAATTTAATTCATTTGACAGATGTCCTTAAATAAATAATTTGTTAAGTCAGGTCAATATTCAGTTTATATGTTATATTATTGATATTAAAATTATACTTTGAATAAACAAAATGAACTGATTTTGTACGTTTACATGTGCAATTATTGTATATATAGAAACATGTGAAGATAGAGAATCGTTTGAATGCCAGGATCACCAATGTATACCATTAAACAACAGATGTGACGGTGTAAAGCAATGTTATGATGGTACAGACGAATATCGTTGTGGTAAGTATCCAATTGGTAAATGCGTACATAAACCGATTCAATTCTAGCATTATTTGTTATTTGTTGATTGACAATTAAACATTTACAAATGCCAATGTCAGCTCATATCTAAGTAATGTGTCAACCGAATTAATAACATAAACATTTTTTTTTTCACTTTTGTATAAACATTGCTGACTTTAATGTTCATATTTAACAAGTCACCTTTTATACCAATATATCTATTTTCTTTGACTGGGTTTTACGTCGCACCAATACAGTAATATATTTCTATATTTCAGTTCAAATTGACAAAGACTTCAAGGTGACAGTATTCCTTAACTCGACATTAAACAGAGAAACCGTTTGTGGAGAAGATGTGGATCTTGGTGATGCTGAAAGTTTTTGCAGACTTGCAGGGCAAGGGTATTGTCGTATTTCATTATAATTTCAAAATGTATCTTTTATTTGATTTTAAAGAATATATATTTAAGTTTGATCTTTAATTTTGTATTATTCATTTTCGACTTCGCTCCCTGGAATTTACCAGTACTGTTGTCATACAAGGATAATAAACATGATCTTGAGTAAAGCTCATATCCCCAATTGCCGGGTTGAGCAACATAAACCATAAACATTTGTTTTTTTATATAATTCATTTACACCATCTCAAACATATACATGTACAGATATCAAAATCATGATTAATATATGATTCAAACATTCTTAAGTAAAGGGATACGATATACACTATATGCACTGACAAACCTTAGATATAAAGGAATAGCATGTTTGACTACTTTTAAACAATAATTAAAAAAAGTTATTTCTGGTTGTCACGATAAATTAGCCTAAAACGTTTTTAAATTGCAGATATGTTTCTGAAATAAGTATTAGCACAAATCAAATAGAGAAGGGTGTCACTGCGAAAGGTTTCAGTGAGAAATTGTATGTACTTACCATATATTATTTTGAAATTTATATCTATGTACTTCTGTTATGTCATGAATTGCTTGAAATATTTTAGAAGAATAATTAATAGTTACGTTAGTATGTAAGTTTGATGTACGAAAACAGCTACCAAATAGTGCTTAACTTGTATGCTATGTTAGTCGTGTTTTGTACCTAATTTGTTTGCTATGTCTGTCGGGTTTTTGTACCTAATTTATATGCTATGTTAGTCGTTTTTTAACTTAATTTGTAGGCTATGTTATTTGGGTTTTTTGTACTTTATTTATGTGCTATGTTTGCTATGTTAGTCGGATGTTTGAATAAGTAAAAAGGCACTGAATGATATCTTGCATTTAACAAAGGCTAAATAAATCTGAGTCTGAAACCTTTTCAATTCTGATTTTTTTTTTCAATTCCGATTTTTTTTTAATTGAGTGTTCGATTTTATAATCCCAAGTCTAGAACTACTCTAAAAATATTATATTTATTGCTTGATATAATGTTTTAACCAATCATACTATTCATCATCACTTATGTTAGTAAAACACAATTTTTTCTTCTTCAGAAATTGCTATCCTCTTAACTTGCGGTGTCATCTTCCAGGTATGCAAAGTATCAATATAATGCTAGAGTCGAACTGCTGAAAGGTCAAAACTACCTGTTCGTTTTATGCAGATTATTAGATGTCTTTAAAAAAATGTTACATATAGCAATTTTCTATTTTGTGTATGCACTGAGTGCTGTATAACTTGATGTGCGGCGGCCATAAAAAGTCACTCTGTTTTATAATAGTTCATTCCATTTATCAACCTCTTAATCTATCAAACTAGTAAACTAGTAAACTATCAAACTGGTTGATTTGCATTATTGTATTTACTGTCTTAGACTCAGTACATTAATACTGTATTAATAGATGTTTCTTGCTCGATATACTGATAGACAAATTACTTTGATTTGTGGGCATAAACCCTTTATTAATAAGTCAAAAAGAAGTTCTTTTGTAATACAGAATGTGGAACAACGGTTATACAGGACAACATGATACAGCCCCATATAATCAATGGTCGTGACTCAACAGTAGAAGAATGGCCGTGGTTTGGTGTACTATTGATGGAGGAATTCTTTCTATGTGGCGTGTCACTTATACATCCATCGTGGGCTCTGACGGTGTCACACTGCATACATGAGTAGGGCAATTTTATTGTGATATTACACAGGAAAGATGCATATATTAATTATATATTGCTTTATTTCTAAGGATAATGATATGCTCTGTTTATGTCTGAAAAGTTGCATAGCATGTGTGCTTTTTGGTTTGTGACTGATTATTGTTAATTACATAAATGTGTACGTTATATTGTCAAAGTGAAAAGAGTACCACTTATTTATGTATGATCTTATCTTAATGTCTAAGGACTTTTACATGATTATTTGAAAGAATTTATCCCAGATATTATAACATACTCTTGCTATCGTTTGGATTGTATAATGCCCACATATCCTAACATATCCTTGCTATTTTTGGGATTGTATACTTTCATTTAAGATTTAAAGGCAAGAAGTTCAGAGTAGCTTTTGGAATGAGCAAGTTTGGGTCTGGGGGAGAATTTTATCAAGAAATAAATGTTGTTAGAACTTATGGTAAGTCTTATTTAATCATACGTTTCCATTACAGAGCAGTGTGGTTCATTTATATCATTTTAAATGATACTAATATGAAAATTAATTTTAAAAACTTTAAGATTTACCTAAGTAAGTTTATCGTAATTGTGTTTTTAGATCTATTTCTTACTCTATTTTTATTATCAGTTTCAAGAATTGCATTGTTTAATATATTGTTTTATTTTGATAATTAGACTGAGCTTTTACATCACAGAAATTGACATATGTGTGTAACCAATTGCTTTTATTTCACAGTTTCAACGCACGGTAGGTTCTATATGTCAGATGTATAAAATTATAAACGGAAACTGAATAAATTGTGTAAATACGTAGTTATATATACTTACATATATTGTTATAATCTTATTTTATCTTTTAAAAATGAGGCTGAAATAGTATAATTGTTATTGTAGTTCTAGAAACTGTTTATATAATATTAATTGTGAACGAGAATGAACTATGCTTTACATGACTGTATCATATAATAATCTGGAATTATTTTCTCTATTTTATTTTTGTTTCATTATTGAATATGAAAATGTAATAAATGCGAAAAATAAAGGGACTCCACTGAGTCTTTTTTGACATGAAGGGACTGAAAATAAATTTAAGTCATTAATGTTCCATCTGATATAGGATAAGACCAACAACAATTTCAGATTATTTTCTCACTCCACTTTTTCCCAGATTGATAATTCTTTATTAAGAAATATCATCAACAACTAATGCTTTCCACACAAATCCGGCTGATAATTACAATTTTCAATGTATTTCTTATATCAATTTCTAATTATAATGTTTAATTATCCTTTGCATATCTTTTAGTTTTAGTGCCCCGTCAGATCTATGTAAGAATTTTTAGGCTTTCGAACCTCAGGGGAGTTCCTTTAAAATCTGATCGGTGTATCGATCAATCTCATTCTTGTATAAAATATTTCCTTCAGTCTATCCCAATAAACAGATGATATTGATAATGCAAAACATTTTTCTTTATTTATTTTTGTAATTTGAACTTTTGGGAGCCTTCTACTATAAAATTATATCATGGTATTAATATAATTATTATTTTCAGATTAACTCAATATCTAATTGTTAATAGAAACATGTAATGAATAAATATATATACAGTGGAACTTCTATGAGTCGAACTTCGATTAGTCGATTTTCTCGATGTGTCGAAGTAAGATAAAAGTCTGTATCACTGTATACCTCGGGTTGCTGTTAAATACTTGTGCTTTTATCTAGTATTTCATTAATCAGTTTGCAATTTAAAAACTGTTTCTTACAGGGTATGGATACATCCCCTCTGACTACCCAGCTCATGACATCACGTTACTAAAATTAGAACATCCGGTCATCGTAAACAATGTTACCCGTCCGTTGTGTTTGCCAACGATGACGTCACTTGATGAAGTCATTAGCCGTGGGCCACAAGCTGAATGCTATGTTATTGGACTAGGTTTAACGGAGCAGTATTTTAGTGGTATAAATGGTTCTACAATATTTTCATTGCTATGGTAGTGATATTTATTTATACACAACGAAGACTTTGCGGTCTATTAGAATGGGAAGCATTGGCTCATATTTCATGGGCGTTTTTATGTCGTCATTCAGTCTAATTAAAAGCAAATGCCCAACTTTGTACCCGGCATTAGTGGGTGAGATGTAGAATGTTTAATTATCTCTGACGGATACAGGCAGTCCTTTTGTGTACGTGAGTGTCTTTAATTACCTTTGCATTCTTTCCACTGTCATCTTAATAGGTGATCATATCAAAAACTTATCTACGATAATGTAGTTAATATCTTGAAAAAGGAATAATCTTAATGAAGAACACGAAATGAATATTGCAAATATAATGAAATATTCTTTATATTGTTTATGTTTAGATCCAAGCGTTGACGGAAAATCACCGGATGTTCTTCAGAAGAAAAGGGTTCACATTGTATCATACGAATACTGCAAACAAATTTGGTTGTCCGAGACCGAGGGTGATGGACCGTTCCCTACTGACGTTGTATGCATTGCCACAGAAGGTCCAAGTTCTCCAACATGCCTCGTAAGATATTATAAAGTCCAGTATAAAGTGTTTACTTAGAAACGTATGTTTCCCAATAACTTTAATTCAAAAGCAGCTTTCTAAACGAGTACACTGTTACATATATATTATAATAAGCCTTATCAACTATAGTCAACCTTACGGTTAAGCAACATCTTCTAATCCAATTTCTTTATGGTGAGAGAAACAGTGCAGACATGTCTCTGCGATAGCCCTATGTGTTCCAGTATTTTTATTGTGCTGCCCTGATTTACATGTTGCAACAACAACAACAACAACAATCACTTTTATTAGAAGCCACGTCACAATAGTAACAATATGACTGATTAACATAAAATAAAGAGTGGGTAACATGATACATAATACAAATTCTACTTTAAACTTTTTTCATCACATGGGGACAGTAATTATATTGTCAAAACTGCTGAAATGTTGTTTATGTTTCCAAATATACATTTATGATTAACTGATAAATAGTTAGTACATGTACATACATGTATGTAATACAATATATATGTTTACTTCTAGAAAAGGTGTAACAAAAGAGTAGTAGAGCATTATGATACTAAAAAAAAATAATAATAATTAACACATTTTGTTATTATTTCTTCTATAAATTGTATAGTTATTTATCAAATTATCATACATACTAATGAAAACTAATGCAAAGGAATATCAGGTGGCGTGAGAAAATACTAATACGTCACTACAGGTGCACGCTTTTCACGTACATAGACAATACTACGATATTGCAAATATTTACAACCGCTAAGAAAGGCTATAAATATTAAATCGTTCGTTACTAAGATAGTCAGGGAGCAATATATGAAAATGATGAAGAACTTGAATTCATTTGGATTTAACTTAGAAAATCGTTAGGCCTGTCTTGTTCTAGCTATTAGTCTTAAAGTGTTCAATAATAGAACGTGCTAAAAATACAATATTTTTAAGAAGATCAAAATTTTCTGTTGATAATAATTCCTTAAATTTCAACACGTTTGGTCTACTGAAAAAGTAAGTTGGGATGTATCGCTTTCTTTGCAAACAGAAAAAAGGACACACTAACATATAGTGAAATTCATCACCGACTTCATTTAACATACAAAGATTGCATTTACGCGCTTCATATGGAAGATATGAGTTGCGCCACCTTCCTATTTCAACAGGTAATTTATGATTTCCTGTTCTAAAATGGAAAAGAGTGAACCTTAGATTATTTGGTAGTATATTTAGATATGCTTCAAATGATATATCATTTTTAAATAGCCTATAGTTTATACCTTTAGATGAATTTTCAAGCTGACTGTGCCATTTTTGTACGAATTGATCAATTAATACCCTTTTTACATGCTTATAAGTATTGGTTAATAAGAGCGAGTTTTGATATGTCCAAATATATGTATGGCCCGTTTGGTTTAATATGTTTTTTATGTGGTTTAACCACTTGTAGTTAACAGTAGAGTTCAGCATATGATTATAACAGATGTGAGATATTTTCGTTGTATTACTTGATAATAGTTTACTCCAAAAATGAATCATTCTCGATTTGATTACAATTTCAAGTGGATATCGTCCAAGTTCACCATATAACATGTAAAGTGGGGTGCTCTTTTTACTTTTAGTAATTTTTCTAAGGAAATCGGTATGTATTCTTTCAATCATGTCTAGATTTTAATTGCAATTGTTAACTGTGTTTGCATGAGATTGTAATAAGAATCTTTTCGGGGCGGTAATTATATAATTAGGTCAGTTCTTGACGGTACACAATAACGCATATGTCATTAAATTTATAAATGTCTTCATGTTGACCGCCTCTTATCCTTTTCATAGTTTGATCATTACTCGTATGTTTCATTTAAGAGCAGCCTATAATTATTGCAAAAAAAATTGGCGTATCTATACTTTATTTCAGGGTGACTCAGGAAGTCCATTAATGTGTCGAACAGATACTGGAAGGTGGGAACTTATTGGTGCAGTAAGCTTCGGATACGGAAATTGCTTTCATGACGTCATACCGACAGTGATGACGTCAGTCACGAACTATAACAAATGGATAAGAGATACAACAGGCAATATATTTTTAACATCAGTTTGATAATATATGCATTTACAAGTTATGCCTAACTTTAAATCATGTCTGCTATTTTTATGTTAATTTCGAGTTTAAAATGTTCACAGCATTTATTCTAACTTTGGAACAAAACGTAAACTAACATTTCAATCAATCGTTCTGCTTTGCATTATTGTATATCAAAGGAATAATTCACAGTAATAGTCGCATCAATTTTTCTGTTTCAAAAATTCTTAAATGAATCGGGACGAAATGACTGCTTTGCAATGTATCAATATCAATGTTGTTTATGCACTATAATTGTTAATAAATATCAAGGTATTTCAAGGATATCTTTCATTCCCTCACTTTAACCCTTGAGTTGTTGGATAAAATTGCACCGAATTTCCTTTAAATGTAATTTCCGTTTTGTACTTTCTCATTTTAGGTATAAATTAAAACAAAACGTGCAACCAGACCATCAGTTTTGTTTTGAGCTTGATGACCTTTGTCAAAGATACAGAGACAGCGTTGTGATCATAATGTAATACGTGTGTGAGAAATGCATATGTTTCAACCAATTTACGATTGTTTATTGAACAATTTGAATAAAAGATGACACTGCTGTATATCTAATGTTTTTGTTCTGCTTCTTGAATATTAATGTAACCAAAAATATATCAGAGTTGTAATATTTGTAAATAAATATCTTAAAATGATGTTTTTGTGTTTGTTTATTCGTAGAGTTAATGGCATTCAAACGTTTTTTTCTCTTTTTAAGCATCTGAATAAACCTTTGGATCATTCTTATATAATGGTTAAACATATTGTTTTTGCTGAATGAGTGGGCTACAATAGACCCAAATTTATCAATCAGCACATAAATTGCTTGCGGCAACTATACAATCATAACATTAATGCAATATCTTATCAAATGAAATCCATTATTTTAGTAATGTGTTGTTGTTTTCAAGACCATTTTGAAGCCTATAATATTTCTGTCTGTGTTCATTTACATCATTTAAAGGAATTTTCAAAGCAGTACAGGCTATTGATCCTAACCTGGCACTTAACCTACACTCAATACGATGATTATTGATTTTCGTTACTTAATTTTTCACAAGAAAAAGAGAACTTTAAATTAGATTTTAAAAAATCAAATAAATAAACAAACAAACAAATAAACAAACAAAAAATACCAAAACAAATAGTTTTTGTGCATCTTTTAAAATGTGCATCACTTTGGTTATAATAATGGCAATCAAAAATACATTTATTCAATTCCTTTCTTATAATGTCATTGTTAGGTTTCCTTTAACTGTGGCATACCCTTTAATTGTCAATGTTAGAATAAGTTGCTTGGATTGAAATGGATAAGGGTATACACTGATGTTGTCTTTCCTCTTTGATTGTATCAGTTAATAATTATATCAGTGATAAACATTTGTTCTGCTTCAGATTCAACAACAACAAAAACTGAAAAACAAAAACCAACAACACGCACACACGTATGCACGCTCACACCTTTGTCACCTTTTGAAAAACCCGAGAAATCTTTATAAATAATTTTTGATACAGCATACATAAGTTCACATCAGCCGTTTATATAAAACTATATTAATATCACGATTATCTCATGAAAAACGTTACAAACGTGCAGTATTATCAAGTATGAAGAAGCACTAATGGAGTACATTATATGCCATGCAAAGATGCCTGACCTGTCGAATTCTAATTATCAGATAAGTGGATACAATAATAATTTTACCACAACATATTTGTTAACAAAATGCACATGTCAATGTTTGTGGATCCATTGTTATTCAGAAGATAGGTCAGAGTAGGGATCTATCAATTTTACAGTTCGTTGTCATTATATATTTATAACATGGAAGCCAAACGTAGCCTGACTAGGTCCTCCTGGGCTCCTTGCCGCTTGTTCTTGTTGCTGGGTCGTGTGGGGGTTGCGTTCATTGAACGCCACCTTCCTTGTTGATCTTGTCTATCATATTTGTCTATTATATATAAAGCACACTTGCTTCGAATGTTATGTTTTCTTTTTATATATTAAGAACTAAAGTTTTATATAGTATGCTAATTCGAAATACAAAAACACAAGATTATGAGGATTATCCTCTAGCATACAGAGCAATTGCAAGAGTATTTAAATCTTGAAAAAAAGAAACCAGTATATATTTAAGTATATACAAATATTTGCAATAACACTTTACAAAAAATGTTATACATTTGCATGATAATCCAAAAAATGATGTATTGTTTTTTATTTTCGAGCTTCAGCAACACCTTTTCCAATAAGCGGTCCATTTTCATGCAAGTACAATGCTGGCCATACAACGAAATCTACTGTTGGACCGCTTTTTGTGTATTCTTTAAATTTGTTTTTGTCAAATCGCTCTCCTTCTTCACATGTTGTCAAGCACATCGGTGGTGATTGTACAACCATCATCCATCCAAGAAATATACATTTCTTGATGAAAGGTTTGAGCTCCAGGATACATTCGCTCTTCCAGCTCGCTGCTATGTAGGCCTATTGTATTAAAACAAGTTCAATTGTTGGAAACAATCTAATAACTAATAACCTAATAAGTTATTGAAAAGAAAACGTATTGAAAATTTCTATTAAAAAACTTATATAAATCGATTTCCAATAGAACAATTTACTGCAGACTATTTGTTTGCGTAAATGGAATCAATGCATATCCTTATTCATATCCAAAGCTTTCATGCCTTTTGGGCGGTAGCTTGCATGCACTTACAACTTATGATTAGGAATAGAATATTACTCAACATTTTCAATAGTATGATCTTTTAAAATTCCGTTTGGTGTATATTTATTTCATTTACCCCTCATATATGTAAAATAGATATGCAATCGTAATAAAAAAGCAAGTGGGTTTGACTTCCGATTTTTTATGTATTATATGTTATGCTATTCATAAGTGATGAAATAATTGCTTTTAATAAGGCAAATCAGTTATCAATTTTTGAAAATTAAATTGTTTTCCGCACCTTTTGTACCATCGGAACCATAGACTCTGCCACTTCCTTTCTAAACACCTTCAATTTTTGTACAATGACATCATGTTTTTGAACCTGAAAAGTAATACATATTTTAGTGTTTAATCCTCGGTATGTATTACAAGCGAAAACTTATTGCTTCAGAAAATATCTTATGTATGTATCTTTGTATGAAAAAAAATAATAGAAAATCTTTATTATTGAAATTGATGAACCATTATTTCCCCTTGTGGCGATTGGTTGAGATGTTATCACTTAATAGTAAAAAACAGTCATTGCCCAAGGCTCGTGTAACAAACTAAAAGATAAAGCCTGTAGCTAAAGTTATGATATTAAGTCTATTATTGAGAGACAATCGATAATGGATTGTAGGGTTATATAAGGTACCGCAAGACCAATCAAAATTACGTTACGTAAATAATCATCTTGAGTAAATTTCAGTTCCGATCATCGTTCTATTTATCAAAATACGCTGATGAAATAAAAAGATAATTTACATCCCCTTATTTTACCCGCTTTAAAATGGGATATACCTAGTCATTAGAAATCATTATATATAATAATATTGTCACTTTAAAATATTTCTTTATAATTTAATAAAAGTTTGTTTATTAAAGGATAAAGGAGTATATAATCATGCATTCATATTTTACCTTTAATTCAATGTTAACACAATAAATTGATAAATATTACTTTATTACCATTTCAGATTCTTGTTCTTTCGCAGGTTCCTGTTTACCATATTTTGGTTTCCATCTCTTTTGAACATCTACACATTCGTCCGGTTCACCGTCAAATGAAGAATCTCGGGCTTTCAGCCACTGTTCTGACTGTTCGATAAAAAATGTTGCAATGAGCTGCTACGTTCTTTACTTTAGACTAAAAGTGTTGCAAGTTAACAAACTACGTTATTTTTATATTTTAAATATGGCTTTCTATCATATATTTGTTGGCATGACTGCTATCAAAAGAATTTGACTGACAAAAGGAGAAAATACTGCAAAATTGTGTTCATGTAAATGAAAAAAAAATAAGCAAAAAGCAAACAAGCAATCAAAACGCACACACACACACGTGCGCGCACATACACACAGAATACGTTCCTAACGAGGGTTGTTCCAACAGGTTGAGGACAACTGCATTTAAATATATATGAAAAGAGTACTGAACAAGTGTCTGTAAAAATTTTACTGATTTTAAATACACCATTGTTGAGATAACGTGCACTGTGTCTTGCGGTATTATTTTATGTCATCAGCCAAATTGTATCTCTAACTGGCTACAAAATGCGGCCAACGTGTAGAATATAATTTTGAAGTCAATGAGACATACACTTATTTGAGGGATACAAAAACTGTTCGTTGAATTTCGTTTTAGAATAATTCTTTTTCTTTTACAGTCTTAAATTTCTGACATTCTCAGAACTGTTTGGTATTGATGATGACTCGACTTTCGACAACCTGCTACGTTTTAGTCAACCATTACATATTTATCATGACACTTGTATATATGTATTAATATTCACGAAACTTTCAAAAGCTTTAAACTTAATCAACATATCCGTAGGTGTTATTCCGCAGTTAGAGCAGAGAATGATAATTGTCCGCCGCTAGGCCGCGTGAGCGTCTTATAACGTTGCAATTTATATTATGTTTTTCTTAGCAATAAATGTGAAAACAAGCACTGTAAACGCATAAGTAATTTGTCGATTTCGACGAAATTACGTCACATGTCGTCAGACAATCAGTAAATATTTTTCAGATCTTGTTACGTTGTTGACAACTTACCATATTTTGTAGGTTTTTAATACCGGGTATACTTATTTTCGGTGTTGGTCGGATACCAGCACCTCTGTATTAAAGATTCAATATTCAGTGTATGCATTATACTTTCTTGAAAATTGAAATAATTGTTCTCATTTTACTTAAAAATAATTGATATTTACGTGTGAAAAAGAAAATTATGCTCGGGCATTATATTTTCGTTTTTACAGCAATTGTCCACGACTTTATGGCACAGTCCTCGTACTTTTATGATATTTTACCTCGTATATCAATGATATTTTTACTTTATATCTTGCAACGACAATAGCTGCATTTCTTTTAGATGATCAGTTACTATGTAAGTGTAATTCATATCTAGGTTTGAACATTTACTCACGGAAAAATTGAAAATAATATAAAGTATCGTTTCCTTACCTGTGACCTCTTAAGTGTCAAGTGTTTTTGACTTTTCTAAAATCAATGAAAGATAAATATGTAATTTGTTATGTTATACTAATTCTTTAACATTATACATGAAAAACGTACACATTAGTTTCTAAGTTTGCACAATTCTTTTTACGACTTTTATTCATGAAAGCTATGTTTTATTTTCTGTATATTGATTAGCGTTTTAAACACTGTATGTTACGACATTTGTTATAGACGTAAGGCTGAAAACTGCTGTAGTCAGGTAGCATTTTCAATCAGCTTTTTAAAAATATTTCATTACAGCTATAAACCAGTGATAAAAGATCGCTCCCGGTAGCAAATTGTCTCAACGAACCAATGTATTTGAACAATCTTGAATTTAACCTTTACGAAAGAAATATTGATAGTTTTTTCAAGAAACACTATATTTTAATGTTACGCATTATACACTTTATCCAATAAAAAATAAAATATTTAAACGATTATGAGCAAAAATTACAACCTAAAGCAATCATTACACATCATAGTTACGCTAAAATATGTTTGCAATTTTACAAACATTTTCAACTATATTGACTGCAATACAAAGAATGATTTACAGTTTACACATCACTGTCACTTTATGACATTATAGTCACCATGGCTCCCCACCCCCTCCCGCAAAAAATGTCCATTGACGCCAACATTACTTTTAGATATGATCCGAAATTAAGACCATCACACTTTTCAGGCGATTTTTCTTCAGGACCGCATGCGATCTCATTAGCGGGACTTTACTGTTCTTATCAATACATTGACTACAATATGCAAGAAATGTACCTTTTCTTGAAAGTCTCTATATTCTTCGAAAAGAAAGTTCACAGCTTCCTCGGTTTTCTTGAGAAGATTTGATGACTTGCTCTTACAGAATTCTAAGACATTCTTTTCAAGTAAAATAAAAGCACGTTAACATTTATTTTGATGAAAATATACAGAAATGTGAAAAATATAGTAAATTATAAATTAAAATTATTTTGCCCACTTTGCAATGAAATTTTTTACTATACAAATTGAGTAGTTTAACCAAATTGTCAGTAAAAGTAATTCATATTATTAGCTATGTAATATTTAAACAGTCAACACTACGTTTACTGTTTTTAACTATTTTAATATCCTTTATTTTAAATACTTGTAATAAGATAATACATGTTTATCACACACCCGTGTCGAATTTGCGACTCTGTAAATATGGTCGTGCATTTTGACGTGCCGTCATAAGCGTTAAACAAACATATTAAGACGCGCTAAATGTTAGTGTTATACTGTAGGCGCGTCAATGAAAAATGACTCCTATTTCACTTTAAACTGTCTTTATGTTGGGTATGTGATAAATAGAGTATTAAATTCGTATTAGTTCAAAACTGAATTTATTGAACTCGTTGAATAAAATAATTTTATTCAACTTGTGCAATAAATTCAGTATTGAACTTACACTCATTCAGTATCCTCTATATATCATTCGCAAGCGACATAATAAATCCACATCAAATAATTCACACTTGCATGGTGGCAACTCTGTACCATATTCTTTTGTCTTTCTGTGTGGTATTCTTTCAAGTGACAGTCACGCTTAAATTAAAGTGAAATTATTTACTTGCAATCAGTTTCAATTAGAGTGAAATTACTCATTTACGATCAATGTGAGTTTGAGTAAAATTATTCACTTACAATCAGTGTTAATCGCAATGTTACAATAGCATCTTTGTCGTCATATCCAGACTTTGTTAATGCATCAAATGCATCCGTCCATTCATTGTCGTACAACTCACTGTAAAATTCGCCTAATTTTTGTGGTCTGTTAGGATCACTGAGGTCTGCTATTGCTGGATTGTCGTCAACTAAACGTTCGCTGACAATTTTACTAAGACTGAAAAAGGCGTAAGAAAGAGCATGTTGTTTATACAATATTATCAAATGCTGCATTCATAATATCAAACAAGGCAGTTTCGTTTTGTTTTGTTATCGTATGTAATTGGAAACATTTGAATTTCTGATCATCACAAAACTCAAACATTTTGAAACAACCTGTCGGATATTTAAACTATACTGTATGATATGTTATTTATGTGTCACGGTTCAGAACTGTTCACTATTTAGGGGAGAATATGTGTCAGCGGGACAGTTAGGTCGGTAGAACTACGGTACGGTATTGCAAGAGTCTCGGGTTCAAGTCCCGGTCAGGCTCACCCTGTGACTTATGTTATTAACCAAAATTTAGACAATCCTTTTATAGAATCTTATCTTTAATAATGTTTTGTATGACCGTTTTTACATATTTTTTTTTGTAAAATAGCAACAATCGTAATTAACATACCGTTTAGTCAGAACTTCCTTTTCTTCAAGAAGTGTTTTATTTTCACTTTCTATCTTCTCTGTTTTCTCGGAGAGGGACTTTATAAAGCTTTGTGCACTTTCGTTTTTTATTCTCAATAAACGAATGTCTTCTTCTTGGTCTTGCAGTCTTGAGTTTAACTGTTTCATTATTTCTTTTAAATGGTCATTGTTTTCCTTTTCTGTCACAGAACGTTGCTTCTAAACGATAATTATAATGGACTATTCAGATCTCTGTTTAATATTGGACTGCTGATAATAATGATAATCAGTCGAGAATTCATAAATATTAGAAACAACCGAGATATTATATATTAAAAACTGCACTGACAATAAAACAATAGTTTGTATTTATGTCTGGGAAGGATCTCGTGTGATCGCAAGGTATGTTTTCTAAATTATTTTAACAGTTCTGCTCTTGAAATTCTTGCTTTTAAATGATATTTTTTTATGATACACAATTTGATGATTGAATGTTGTCCCAAAATGTCATATACCTAAACGGAAATAATCCTATTTGTTAACATACAGGTATTTAATATAAAAAAATCAAATCATACTTCTATGGTACTATTCCGTGTGAGGACTAGTGTCTGTTGTTAGATAGCTTTAACCAGTAAGTACATATATATATAGGAGGAGATTTGATAATTTGTGCGTCCTTGAATTAGAGATTAAAGAAGTGGACTCAGATTACTGGCTTATCATTGCTGAGGGCTACACTCCCGCTAGGGACTTTAGATTATTTTAGTTTAGGCAGTTACTTGAACGTCCACTTATTCATGAAATACTGTCACTTAAAGGGATATGCTAAGCTAACCTATTGATAAACAGCGGTTTGGAACTGACAGAAATTATTCAAGATCTGCTTACTTAAGAATGATTACTGAAAAAAATTTAAGCGACAATAATTGGAAGGTAACCTTATGTTATCTTTAATTTAGCATACGCCTGTCGAATCCAATAAAATATGTAACGGAATTAACTCACCATCTTAAACTGATGTAATTTATACCAAAGTACGAACAGACATTTATAATTAGTACATGTAAATACTTGTCGATTTCCAGTTATACAGACAAAAAATAATTGTAAAATATAGTAATGTATTAACCTGACTATTGTTCTCTACAGTAGCCCGTTGAGCATTATCTGTAGATTTCCGCGATACACCGCTGAAAAAGAAAACTATTACATAATTGCGTCAAATGTGCCATACCAAACATTCTAAATGAAAATTTCAGTAGTTTTGTCTTACATTTTCATGGTACATTGGGACCATTGATTCTATCATTTCTTTGTATCGAGTATTGATAACCGCTCCATCCGGTGCTAGGGAGCGTGAGTGATGTTCCATTCTTCATTATTTCTCATATCAGAGTCAATTGACAACTACCTGCTTTGATTTCATTGTTTTCGTGGGATAATCCCTTTTCAGCATATTTTAAATATCAGGCATAGTTTAAAAAAATCATGTTTCATTGCAATGTTTTTATAATATATGCGTTATGATTTATAGTGGTTATATACAAAAGCTGTTTTATAGTAGTTATATACAATATCTGTAAACATTAATGATCTGATAGTAACCATGCTACCTTTGTGTCGCTGTCAAGTGTCCTTTCAGTATTGTCTCAGTTTTTTTATTTTCTATTACAAGACGTTTGTTCTCCTCGGAAAGTCTAGCTACTTCATTTCTAAGACGATGCAATGCCTCGGAATCGGCTCTGTCTAGAAAGTGAACGGGTCCGACCTTTTAAATTAAAAAAGTATTCTGAACTGAGAAGAAAAATGAACTCATGAAAATGCATATAAATATATAATTCTTACAAGCATCATGTGAACACTACCTTTCCATCAATCAAATAGGGCAGTCAAGTTCATTATTACACGGTATATGACGAATCGGATCTGTTTGGAATGTGAATCGGCCCCCACCTTTTTAATTGAAAAATGTTTACATAACTGATTTCAAAAATTTTCTCATGACATTTTATATATATACATGTATATAATTCCTACAAGCTTCACAATATCCCCCCAATACAAAACAAATAGGGAAGTCAAGTTTATTGTTACACGATATATGCACGACATGATAACAGGTATACTTGCAAGACTACAACTGTGCTCAACAAAGCACTTAAAATTGTTATCTATTTCTTAAATAATATATCGAAATAGAAGTAAATCATTCATACCATGTCCTTATTGAACTTATGTAATTTTTTCTCCAGGTCTATCGTTAATTGACATAATAAGGATCTTCCGCGTTCATCAAATCGTCTTCCTTTTTGCAGACTTGTTATAGTATCCGAAGTTTTATTACATTCATTTAACAGAATAGAATATAATTCACCGGTTGTCATATCACAGTAATTGCGCTGCTTTAAAACCATTCTTGGGCCAAGTTGTTGTTCCAAAACATTTCCCATCTTTTAAATCTACAGAAGAAATAAATTGCTGGTTATATTGTTTAATGTATTTTCTTTAAAATAGTAAGGGAATGAAATAAAAGCAATTCATTTCGCATATTGAGCAATCAAATTCATTCGGCCAAGTTTTAATTATATTTTGAAGTTGAAATTAGTACATATTAATGCTTCAAATGTAGGTTAAGATAGTTGCATAAAACCTTTATGGTTGACATCATTTAACTAATTCTCTGTCGTCACAATGAGTAAACCCCAGAAAAATGAGCAAATGGGTATGCTCTGGAGTGCGAGTAACTATACCTGCACTCCAGTTAACGTAATATCATGTATATGTTTACGATTTAACTCTGATACATTTTCAATAGAAAGGTCACCACATTATGATACACGATCCATATTATATGGTTAATTTGTATTTTGTTTGTTTCTACTGATTGTACACTTATCGTAAGTGCGTTATACTTCTAAGTTAACAACGAATGTTCAAGCAGAATCAAGAAACGGAATAGTAAACTAAAACTTAAAAAAAACACAAATTTACTACACAGTGGATATTTGAAAGAGTACGGAAAATCTTTTTATCAAGCTGTACACTACACTAAGGTGTACAGTTAAACCCGCATAAAAACTTAAGATCGTATTTGCAAAATTTAAAGAGAGTTTTCATCTACCTTTGATATACAGATATGCATGGATAATGTTTATGTTTACGTTTGAAATATAGATTGACAGAATCAAAATATTAACTGGACGCAGTGTCCTAGTGGTTACGTTGGCAGCATAACAACCAATGCATCCATGGATAGATAATTTATTGAGTATACATTTAGTACTACTTTAGTCATTCAACACACATTTGTATAGTATGATTAAAACACAATATCATGGTACATGAACAAAAGTTGTAGCACAAAATATTCAGTTTACATTTTTTTTGGACAGCGTAAACTTAGCTATCATAAATATAGAAAGTGGCTTGAAACTTAATCATATACTGTGATAAGATTCCCTAAGAACAGCTGTTTAACAAGTTTCATGATTGACACATAATCAAGTAATTTCAAGAATAATCAATACCACTATTAGATATAACAAGACCAAATTTACACATTGATTTACAGAGCATTTAGTAATTCAATTCGATGCTTTGTAGCATAATACAAATATTAACCTAAACCTATTAATTCAGACTTTTTTCCAGTACTTGACAATTATATCAATGTTTCCTCATATACTAGAGTGGATTAAGTAAGGTTTGAGCTTTTAGCAAAAAATTTCTTAAATAAATACGTTTATGATTTTAATTAGTATTTAAATATTTTGAACAACTGCAATTGAAATGCAGAAAGTACATACAATAAAAAGATATAAACATTTATCCGACAAGACGTACTGATATATGACCCATGTCAAACGTAAAGTAAACAGTTTTACAAATATACTATCAAATACACGAAATATTACAGTAACAATGGTTATTGTTTAAATAGCAAATCATTTAATATACAGCAAACAAACTACGACAGAAGTCCTAAATGTAATTAAAGCTCATTCTAAGTGACTGTTAAAGATACATTAAAAGTTTTCTCTGATAACAGTCATTTTACAAATCAAGATCTACTTCAAATGTCAACATATAAGAGTATAAATGAGATGATCGTATGCTTTTAAAATATCATTGGAAAAGTGAAAACTTACATATATTTAAACAATTTGCAAAATTAAGTGTCCACCATATAATCTACTTCCTGTTACGATTCCTTGAAAAGTGTCTCGCATTCGAGAATTCAATTGCAAATAGAGCGTGAATAGATAATTAACCTTAGTCTATAAATACTTCACCCCTATTTATAGACACCAATAATCGACAAGTTAAACATTTAAGCAATAGATGTTGTTAAGGCAAGGTTAGTGATAATGATTAAATTATAACCGCCCTACCTAAGCATAGACCTCCCACTAAAGTTAATATAGAAAGTAACTGGTAAATTGTAACACATGCTAAAAATGTCATTATCATTTAAGTCTGAAACGAAAAGAAAAAACACAGCTTGTTAAGTTTATGTTTGACCGGGCTTAATAATTATTGATAACAATATCTTGACTCGAAACGTGAAACGTTATTATCAACATGTTATGAAACAAATATGTTTCACAGCGTTAATAATTCCAGTTAATCCTTTCTAATCTTTTTAATTTAATTCATTAAAATCTTGAAAAAAAAACATGTAAATTCTTTATATTTATGATTGAGATATCACGTTTTGTTTACTATTTCAAAAATACTTAAATGATCATTCACAACATAATTAGATCTTAAAACAGATTGTACTACAAAGATAAGAGACATAATATTGAGTCATAAAAAACCGATTTTGTAGATATTTAACATTTTAGTAATGATTTAACAATGACATTTATGTTTATAACGGGTATTAATTATGTTATTTGGAAAAGATAAACTATTTGAATGATACTCATAAGTTTATTCATAGATTAAACAATAAACATCTATGTTGTTGTTGATGTTTTAAACGCGTATTTAAAGTTGTATCTTAAGAATCTAAGAGACAACTGATTATTGCTTGAGCACCATCACTGACAATGCTACGAAGGTTGATGACCACTTTGATGTGCCCTCATCTGTAGTAAACGTTAATACTGTTTTATTTTCAGTAACTTCTCGATGAGTAATTTTTCATATGTCTGATACTTTAGTTTCAGCAGTAAAACAGGAGCGGTGACATTGTCCGCCTAATCATCTTTGCACTTACCTTTTATTAAAGATTAATTAAGATTATACCGCATCATTACACTCAACTACTGTGTTTAAAATACATAATCCTGCAAATATAATCGACCTTATATTGATTAACACTCACTCAATATTGAAAACGTTATTCTTTGATAAACAGGCATGCAATAAAAGAAATGGTAGTACATTTTCGGAAATTAATAAAATTGTCAAAAAAGATTACATCTTTTGAGAAGGATATCCATCATGCGATAACGTTCGTATCAGTGTAAAATAATCTGCGTGTTTCTGTATTTTGCTCTCGTTTGACATAGAAATAGTGCGTCAAACTGTGCCTTCATCCGATAAAAGAAATATCAAATTTGCCGTCATTTCATACATAAACTAATAATTTATATATAAACATCTGCATTTATTTCATGATTTTCAGTGTTTTATTGTAATATATCAGATGATTATATTCTGATTAACCACTAGCGAAATTTATAAAATATAATTTTCACTGTAGCCGGACTATATCTGAATGCGAATCTATAAGATTGAAATATTTCATTCGTGAACACCAGTTATTATATTTTCAATCGTGGCTACGCCACTCGTGAAAATATTGCATCTGATGTTTACTCTGTGAAATTATATTTCAATCTTACAAAACAAACAAATATCCTCTATATCGTCATTGACTGGTTCTTGATAATATCATAGGTCTACATAAGTGCTTGGGTTTTACATTGGAAAGTATATGCTCCATAAAAGTTATTGTGCATTTTTATGTTTGTGTACCTACATACCATTATTCATACAGCTTAAAGGCAAAATACATATATGGTAGTCAGTTTTTGTTGTTAGGGTATGATACCTGTAACAATTTATATATTCTCGTCTCCTAAAATAATGTACATTGAATAAGATATGCACGTATTAGATAGGTATAAATACTTAAGTGATACAAATACTATGCTATGTAAGTTTAATGGGAAATAAAATTATTTAGATTTTATAAATAATGTTGAATCATAGCAACAACTACAGTACAATTTATAATATTTAGTTAACATGATTTACACTATGAAGTCTCTTATTAAAAATAATAGAAGATTGGTAAATATACACACTATTTACCTGCTTTCTCTGTTCGCTATATTCTGATCGGCCATGATCAGTTTCCCAGAAATTGTCTCAGTGATCCGTTTTAGTAAAGTTTTCTAACATCTGGTGGTAGGTGATTCATATTCTGCCGCGTGTTGTCCCAATATTATCCCATTGGGTTGGTGGGCTACATAAGAGCTCCGAATTAGAAAAAAAATCCCAATTCAAACAGCCTTCTTTTTTCGATGAAGGAACACATGCAACCATTTAAATGGCCTATTGCCGTCAATATTATCAAAGAAATAAAAGGAAACAGAAACAATACACATTTACAGGTATTTTAAAAAAGATGTAAAAAGATGTTATAAATCTTTATTTTCTGAATTGCTTCAACTTTTGATTTGCTATAAAAATTAAACATACATGTATTTAATCAGGTGTACGCATGATGTTGTCTATATTTTTGCAAACTTCGTGGTTTGCAATTATGTATTGTATTTTATTCCTGTGGCGGATATGTTACAAGTTTAATAGATTTGAACATTTATCATATATTTAGATAAGTACATGTATTCATTTGGAATAATTTGATTTGCTCATTTGTTGTTATTGTAGATAGCATGTTTAGAAGGTCGCATTTTTTGTTAATAATTATGATTTAATTTTGCAAGTGGAAAATAAAAACCTATCCATTTCAACATATGACTGGCACGGTCTTAATGAATCCAGATTTGAGAAGGTTGGTCCTTGCTGTCTTGCCAACTCTGGTTCAATAACCTCCAGAGGTCACAGAATACTTTTGCTTAGTTTGTTCTGCGATCATAACCATCATCACCTTTCTCTCGGACCCAATGATAGACATATATGGTCGCCTTTTGCCAACGTCAATAACATACACAGATTAAAGGACGTCGTTATATTTTTTACAGAAGATAATACAAGTTTTATGAATTGACGAGGGAAACACCAGAAAATCTTATTTGATAAGATTACTGTTAAACGAGCATATACACATAAGGCACGAATCGTATGTTGATTTTCATAATATTTGCTCCATTCTTACCCTGTTACAGTTTCGTCAGTCATGTTTGACGACAACAAAAACACCGTAAAAGACTAAGTAAGATCTCTCATTCCCGTCTTTATAAGAGACTTGCAGACTTTTTTTAAAGATGGCCTACCTAACCGAATGGCAAGAACATCGGGGATTCTGGGACAAAATTGCTGTAGCAGTCGAAGCAATAGATGGAACATCCCATCCAATTTACAGACCATAAAACACAAGAACAGTACTGTTCAGGCCATAGAAACCACCACGCAATTCATACGCATATTCATACTCAGTGTTTCATCAAATACGACACGATTACCGCTATTTTATATAAAGCACTCTTGTTTGACATGTTATTTTTCTTATAGTCGTATGTTTTTCTATACATTACACTAACACAATGAAACAACCACAATTATTGTATTTTAAAGTATGTCAATTTTGAATACAGAAACACATGGTTAACATTTCTTTCATACAATGTACATGCATATCGATTTGAGCAATTGCAAGAGCATTAATATTTAAGAAATCAATTTAGTATAGATCTAAGTATATTATAAATATTTGCAAAAACACTATACATAATATGTATACATTTGCATGATAATCCAAAAATAATGTATTGTATTTCATTTTCGAGCTTCAGCAACACCTTTTCCAATTAGCGGTCCATTTTCATGCAAGTATAAGGCTGGCCATACCACGAAATCTACAGTCGGACCGCTTTTCGTGTATACCTTAAATATGTTACTGTCAAATCGCTCTCCTTCTTTACATGTTGCCAAGCACATCGGTGGTGATTGTACAACCATCATCCATCCAAGAAATATACATTTCTTGATAAAAGGTTTGAGCTCCAGGATATATTCGTTCTTCCAGCTCGCTGATATGTAGGCCTATTGTATAAAAACAATTTTTGAACCAGAATAACTAATGGTAATGTTTCTATTTTACAAACTTCAACTTAAATGATTCAAATCAAGGAAAAGAAAAGTTATTGAAATTTTCCCTAAGATAACAGCTCTTAATATTTATCAAAACAATATACTTTATACTATTTGTTTTCGTTAATGATGACAATAAAGGCATGCTCCCTATGCATATTAAAACTGTCAGTTATTTTGTGGACGGTAGCCTGCATTTACCACTACTGTACCTCTGTCAATAAATAGGTTATTAAATCGAGCATGCCACATTTTCAATTTAGCCGTTTTGGGAAGGAATTCTTTTAATATTCCGTTTTTTTCTTCTGTTTTTGTTTGTTTTAATAATATGTTCGTGCTCTTGACTATGTTATGTTATGTTAATTTTTAATACCGTACGCATGTGAAAAATGCAAAATGCACCTTTTGTACTATTGGAACCATTGACTCTGCAACTTCCCTCCTAAAATCCTTCAATTTATGCACAATGACATCAGATTTCTGTACCTGATAAGTAATAAATATGTTTATAATAAAGGATTTCGTGTTTTCTTCAAGTATCTTCTTAAAGTGAGAAATGTACGTGGTACAGAGGAAAATTGTTTGCATGTATTTAATTTTGGTAACATCAATTAGAAAATCTGTTTAGATAGTTCTTTATACCTTTGAAACGTTTATTAGTTCACAGAAAATGTTACAGCAATTCTTTATTTGGTTTATGTCCCTTTAATTAGATGAAAACAAAACAAGTATCAATATATTTTCATCACCACTTCGGGTTCTTGTTCTTTGGCTTGTTCTCGATACATTTTACCGAACTTTGGTTTCCATTTCTCTTGTACGTCCACATACTCGTCAGATCCACAGTCAAGTGAAGAGTCGTTCAGCCATTGTCCCGACTGTGATGTAAATTATCATTTATAAAGGCTTCTATTTAAAAGAAATATGTTGCCAGCTACCCAATTACAGTAAAACTTTGATTATAGACAGTATTAGATGGATATAACTATATATATAAGAAGAGAGAGAGACCACATAAAATGAATGCATTGATAGCCGACATGAATTATCATTATAAAAGTAGATACACGATTTCATTGTTACCTGCCTTGGAAGCCTATACCGTATTTTGCAAGCCTATAAAATTCAATATTAACCGTGTTTTGCGAGCCTTTACAATTCAATGGGTATCGTGTTTTGCGACCCTATACATTTCAATGTGTACCGTTTCTTGTGAGCCTTAACTATAGAATATGTACCCTGTTTTGCGGTTACAAGCACGTGCTACTTCCGATCACTGCACCTTACTTTGGAATCTATATATTTTCAATTATTTCACAATAAAAGGGAGATACCGTGATGCAATATATTTATCTAGTAAAATAATTTACTTCTTACCTGTGAGACTTTAATCGTCAAGTGTTTTTGACTTTTCTAAAAATATTAAATACGAAAATTGAAGTGCTATACAATAAAACGTTTATTTTTTTTTACATAGAGTATAAAATGAATACATCTATGGTAATCACTTTATGATTTTCATTTCGATAATGAGACCTAGCGTATCTTTAGTATTTATGAGAGTTTTTTTAGCAGAATATGTTAAAAACTTCTTTGAAGGTTTTCAATCAAAGTATGTTGTTTACCTCATTTTACTGAGGAAACGACTGAAATGTAATTGTGTGTTGCCCGATCGCCACGGCGAGTCGGTATTACGTTAGGCTTTTAACGAGGAAGCAATAGAAAACAACCTAAAACTCCAAATCTATCTGAATTGTAACCGAGGATTGGCTTCTAGCTTTTTACATGATTAACCTGTCTGAGCTGGACTTTTTTAAAAACAGCAAGAATTGCTTTAATTGCAAAGATATGATCATGTAACATTTTTCAAAAAAAAAGTTAGTCTTTATTATTTCTTTTTAATCAATTAAATTTACACTGACGTTTTGTTTACTCCTTTCTTCTAAAGTAGTATTTCGTTTGGTGAATTAACATTAGTGTTCATTCGGTTTTGCGCAGTTTTGTCTTTTTTTTATCTTTTTTTTTTAAATCAAATTTCGGGTCATTTTTGAGTGAATATACTCTGCGATATGGAGGTACCCGCGGTCTTTTCGAAAAGATGTTCCCATAAACTAACATTATGAGAAATGATCCGTAATTCTACCTTAAATTGAGTTATCATGCTAAAGAGGGGATTTTTTTCTGTGAATGAAATGAAACATAAAAATGATCTTGTTATATAGGGGTGGCCAACCAATTTTCTTCGCAAAATGACTTCAAAAAGGATTTCACTTGAAACATTCTACAATGTTTCCATGCAATAGTAGTAAACAAGTAGTTAACGACAGTCTGCAAGTGCAGATAGTTCTAACAACACTATTTTGAATGATAATGCCGCTTCACATATGCATTCTATACAAACAAACCATGCATATGGAAGTTTACATGATGCACTTTACAGGGAACCCTATACGTTTGGCCCATCCAATGGGGTACTTGCTTTTTATCACATACCGGTGCCGATTTTGCGGCTCCGTAAATATGGTATTGCACGGCCGTGCATATATTTTGACGTGACGTCATTAGCGTTATACAAACATATTGTAAAGACGCGCTAAATGTAAGCGTTATACTATAGGCGCGTCAATGAAAAAATGACTCTTATTTCACTTTAAACGGACTTTACGTGGGTATGTGATAAATAGAATATTAAATTCGTGTAAGTTAATTACTGAAATTATTGCACTCGTTGAATAAAATAATATTATGCTCGCCAGAGGCTGGCATAATATAATTTTATTCAACTGGTGCGATAAATTCAGTATTGAACTTACACTCATTCAATATCCTCTATATATTGACTTGTCAAACATTCCAATACTCATTAACCTGTAACAATTAAACTTCATATTCGAAGACACCTTGATGAGTTCTACCTACCACATACATTTTCAGATAAAAAGGTCAAGGCCACTGACACTTGATATATCAAACATTCAACGGGATATAAAGGGGAAGAGAGAGAGAGAGAGAGAGAGAGAGAGAGAGAGAGAGAGAGGGAGGGAGGGAGAGAGAGAGAGAGAGAGAGAGAGAGAGACCTCTCAATTTGACATTTAAGCACACTCAATGTAATAGAAATGATGAATAGCGAGCCGTTACTAGCTTTTTTAACTGCAAACCTTGTTATTATGTATGTGTGTTTATGATTTACATGTGTTTATGAAAGTCTGTGTTCGTGTTGCGTGCGTTTTAATTGTTTATAGGTGTTTATATTTATGTATTTTTATTATCCATGTGTTTTTATGAGTTATGTGTTTTTAATGATTCGTGAAAGGATGCGTTTATGATTCGAATTGATCACTTTTTCTCCATCTGACCAAAATCATATCCAACTCACGAAGTGACAGTTAAGCTTTTTCTTTATCTGGCCTTTATCAAATCTAACTCATGAAATAGCGGTCACGCTTTTTCTGCCAATTCATTGCCCTTCATAAGTTTATCTATCTTATTTATTATTGTTTCTCTTTAACATAATATTATCATATTATTTCAAAACAAAATAATTATTACCTTTTCTTGAAAGTCTATATACTCTTTGAAAAGAAAGTTCACAGCTTCCTCGGTTTTCTTGAGAAGAGTTGATGACTTGCTGTTGCAGAATTCTAAAACATTCTATTAAATAGAGACAATGCATGTGTATATATGCAAGTAAACAGTTATATTTAGCAATAAATGAAACCCATGTACTGATTACTAAGTAGTTGTTAAGAGGAACACAAAAAGCTTAATTAAATATATTCATATAAGTTCATTAGATAAAACATTCAAATTTCAGTAGTGTCATCAAAATATCAGTAAATAATGATTACAATTTCAGCATAGTTAAATATATAAACAACCTTTGATAATTAAATATTTAAGACGACATACCAGTCGCAAACAAAGTTCTCTACTTCTATTTTCTTGCATTTATGTAACAGCTTTTAACTTGTGAAATGCTTTTCTATGACAGGAATTCGAATATACGAATACACAACTGACGATGACTTTATCGTGGCATCGTGCATGCAAACCTTGACCTTCAATCAAAATAGCTCAAGTATGACTACATCTACGGATATTTCTGAATACAAAATTTCAAATTTATATGTTTAAATGTAGGATTCTGATTAAGCAGATGCTCTGGGGCGTTTATGGTAGCTAGTACCGTTTATAAACAGCCTCAGTCAGACTGATCCTGCAACATTTTTAATTTTTGCCATTTTGGGATTCTTTAGAGATTCTTAGTTTTACTATTATAATTATTAGCGGGTAAGTTTGAATGAAATTTATATCTTACAATCAGTGTCAATTGAAGTGTAACAATAGTATCTTTCTCGTCATATCCGGACATTGTTATAGCATCAAACGCATCCGTCCATTCATTGTCGTACAACTCACTGTAAAATTCGCCTAATTTTTGTGGTCTGTTAGGATCAGAGAGCTCTGCTATTGCTGGATTGTCGACAACTAAATGCTGCTCGGGAACTTTACTAAGTCTACAAAATAAATGGATGAACGGTACATTAAAGATGGTAATTAGCTTTAAAATGTTGTAAGTATGCCCAATTGAAATTGCATGTCATTTGAAAAAAAATATTATAGAAATGATAAATTAGGAAAATTTAATAAGTAAAATAGTCATAAGCAGATTCTTAACTTATTGCCTCTTAATTATGACAAAGTAAACTAGGAACTGTTAAGGCCATCAATCAGGATCATTAAGATGTAATACGTAAAAAAGCGCAAACAATAAAATGATAATTAAAACAAGCTTATTCATAAAAGAAAGTTTAGGCACCTCAAGGTGCACGCATGTTTGTATGACCCAAAGCTTCAAATACATTTGATGAAAATCACGCTTAAATATATAATTTGAAATAAATGGTAAAATGAAAAAGTGTTTTCTTCTTAGAAATAAACAAAGAAAATATTTTTACCGCTGAATCAAAGCTTGTTTCTCATGATTGAGTGCATTCAGATTACCCTCTAACTCTTTTTCTATGCCTTTAAGATGATCAATAAGTTTCATCGCGCTTTTGTTTGAATCTATCAGGAACGTTATTTCATCTTCTTGATTCTGTACTTTTAACTGTAACTCTTTTATGCATTGGTCGGTATTTCGTTCTGTTCCTTTTTTCTGTTAAATTAAATTAAAACAAGATTATTGTTAAATAGAATGTTCTAGCTCTTTCTTTATTCAAGTGAACAGATGTAATATGTCTGTCAATTGCTTTTATATCTTTTAATGTTAAATACTTAAGTAAAAACGAAAGTGTTTAGACATAGATAATCAATTAAAACCTGTGACTCTTGCTTCAAATCATTTATCTGTTATGAACGCATAATAAATTTATCATACTACGGTGTTAAATTTGTGTGTACATATTCTTAGATTCTGACAAACAGATACATTAATTATAATTAAAATAAATCACTTTACATGAGTTTCTTGTTTAGATTGTTCCTGTCCACGTCCTTGTTGTGCCTGGTGTGAATCATTTCTAGATTGAATTATTCAAAACTTGATAATTGGAGGTTTGCATATACAAAATGTACATGTGTATGATAATAAAATGACTTCTTATGTTGAATAAAATATTAAAAGACTTCATATATTTATAATGATTAAATGTCTTGATATATATTATAATCAAATAGCTTCATATATATAAAACGGCATATTGTCATGTATATATATATATGAGATACCTAACTATTTTTTTTATTTTTTTTTTAAAGTAAATAAGAAAAGTATTATTTACAATTAGGACAAAATAGAAAATATTCTATGTTTCAAGTAATTTTCAGTATATAATTACAGAAACATTTTAATTTGTATCAGGAACTGTTTGAAGAATTCTGATAGGATACCTTTTCGTTTCATTAACAGTTTGAGACAATACTGCCTCGATATCTTTATGAGCCTTTCTGAGCCTTTCATTTTCTTTCATTTGCCTGTTCAATTCTGTTCTTAGATGCTGTATTTCTTCGGAGTCGGCTTGTCTTATGTTCGATTGACTGGCCGGTCCCATCTTTTAGATAAGAACATTGTCAATTGCTAAAAGCGCCTTTTATATGCATGTATACAAATACAAATTTATTCTCAATTGTATTTTGTATTTCAAATTTATTACACCAATCATTGACTGACAGGTATCTACTTAACGTTGAAGTAGGTTAATAGGTCAGTATATTTTGTATTCAGTTATCTGATTCAATATGAAAACATATATGTATTATAACTATAATCAAATACAATTATATCTTTACTTTAATCAAAGTGATACAAATAAACGTTTTGATATAATAAAATCTGATATCATTCTTGTATAACCTTTCATGTATTTAAAGTAAATACATACCATGTCCTCATTGAATATATGTATCTTATTTTCCAGATCCTTCATCATCTGACAAATATAGGATCTTGCATTGTTATCAAATCTCCTGTCTCTTTGTAAGCTTCTAATGGTACGTAATGTTTTACTACATTCGCCATCCAACACTTCATACAAATCAGGGGTCCTCATTAAATGGTAGGGTACTTGGGTCTTACTTAGACCTCGGTCTAATACATGTACATTGCCCATCCTTTATGTCTTTAAAGAAAAACTGTTATTATGAAGTAGAAAACCAATCAATATATGAATGTTTATATATTTGTTTCCTATATATGTATTCCCATCTAAACACAATGGTGAGGTGTTAAATGAATAAAAAAAGAAAAGTTTACAGGAAAATACAACTGTATTTTGGATTAAACCCTAGGAATCTTATACTGAAGTAAAACTCGATAAAAACAGTACTGATAAAACTTAAATATTTAATAATATTCTATATATTAAATTAGAATGTTTTATAAAATATTTCGTGTTTCATTGTAAGTAGGTTATATAATTATCTATAAAAAACAACTAAGATTTAATGACAGATTGTTATCTGACGGATAAAATCAATACCGTACTGATATATGACCTTGATAATAATGCTTGAAATATACCCATGTTATAATAAACTTGTTTACTGAAATAGATAAATATTTAGAGTGTTTAGGATCTTCATTTAAATGGTTTAACTATAGAAATACTTTCAAACATGATTTTAAACAACAATTGAAATGCTAAACTATAATTTTGAAGGTTGTTTTGTGTAATTGTTAAAATACGTAAATGTTAACTGTTATATAAATGTATGATAACAATAATTTTACATAATAATCGGTATCTAGTTTAAACGTCAAGACATCGGGGACTTTTATGCATTCAACTATCATAAGCAGATTAAAAATATTAACTTACATATATTGTAAGTATTTTCAAATCTAAATATTCACCATATTATTTACCTCCTGTTTCAGTTCCGCGAAAAGCGTTACACTGAAGGAAATTCGATTGCAACTAGCGTGCAAAGTTTAAATTGTTAAACTTGGTTTAAATGCTGTTATTAACTTCAAAGTGACTTTATCTCTGTTTAGATATCAATGATTAGACTATAAATGGTCATGTTTAAACAGAAGGACTATTTACATAAATGATATCTCTGCCCAAGCGTAGAGTTAAACTTTTTACATTAACATATCAATCATAACCCGAACAAAATCATACTGTAGTGACCCAAGTACACTTTGAAAAAGAAACCAATGTCATTATTAATGATTTTCATTCTAAATTAACAAAACTGGGAATTTCTGGTTGTCTTACATGTTAGACTGTCAATCTTGACTGTCCTAAAGGGATATTAATTAAAATATTGATAACAACATTTATATTGCTTTATCATAAACATATTTAATTGAACAACCAATACGAAATAAGAAATAATACAATTCCACAAGTTTATCAATCAGCCCTCGTACATCTGTTAAACGTACAAAATTAAAGGAATTCTCAAAATAAATCTAGTATAAAAGTTTTTATTTAATTTATAAAGATCCTGTTAATTATTATATTTTTATTCGATGTCTTTATGTGATCATATGTTTTGCACTTTTATTTTAAACTACGTAATAATCTTTCATTTCCTCTCTTAAAAAACCTGATTTTTAAACGGTTTTACTACAACGATAAAATATATTTTAACATATACAATGACATTCATGTAGATAAAGATATTATATTTATCATTTAGATATGAATACTATATCTATAAGCAATTTAAAGATGGTACATACTATTAAAATAGTTTAATCTTTTTTATGATAAGCTTGTTCTTTTATATAGGAAAGAGACTGTTCTCTATCGAATGTCTATATCTAGAAAATTATCTAGAAACCTGTGTACATCAACACAATCGCCGACAGTGCTGAGAAGTCAGCCATGCCTTGATTGTTTTGCTAACGTCAATACTGATGTATTGTTAGTTGATAAAAACACGTTGAATAAGTTCCCATTATTAATAAGAGGTGGGTCAACCCCTTGCAGCCATCTATGATGTTTCGGGAGAGATTTAAATGTAATGTCAGCCATGCCTTTTTTTGCTTATGTCAATACTGGTGTATTGTTAGTTGATAAAAACACGTTGAATACGTTCCCATTATTAATAAGAGGTGGGTCAACCCCTTCCAGCCATCTATGATGTTTCGGGAGAGATTTAAATGTAATAGTTTCAAGAGTTTATTCAGCATAAACATACAATATGTTCATTGCCATACATATGATATAATGTGCATGTAATATGACAAGAAAACAAACAAACAAACAAACAACAAAAATAAAATACATTTGGTAACAATGAGAATAACCCAAACAAACACACACACACCCACAAAAAAATATTTTTGAGAAAAGTGTAAAGAAATAGTAATTATTCAATATGTATTTAAACAGTCAGATTTATTGATTATACGTATCTCGTTTACATGTAGCTAGGTATAAATACTTTGCCAGTTTATTTATAATACTTTTTTGGCAAGATGTCATAATATTTCTAAATTTCTGGATACTAGGCCAAGAACAGTAATAATTATGAAGGCAACGATATCTTATTTCTCTATAAAAGGGACACACTAATAGAAAATGATACTCATTTCAACAACATTCATGTTACAACGTAAACAGATTCGTTCAGATCTTGGAATATTCCTGTGTCTACCTTCCTCTATCAGTAATTTGTGAGCAGAACATCTAAATCGACATAAAGTAGTACGATAATTTAAATTACTAACACACAACAAATATTTTTCCGCAACATGTTCATTTTTAAAATATGCAATAAGTTTCTAATTTAGGTAAACTGTTGATTTCACTTTGCCATTGTTGTAAGTATTGATCTTTTATTCGTGCTATTAAAATATTTAGTTGATCATTTGTAATATTTTGATTATTCCATAAAAACGGAAAACCTAACTCATTCAACAAATCTCGTACATCACTGGACCACTTGTTTAATAAAACATCATTATTATTTCTCATACTATAAATTCTATAAATAAGTTTGTCGTTATTCTTAAGAATTCTGTACCAAAATTTCAATATCCTTATCTTTCTATATACAATTAATGGAAATCTTCCTAATTCTGCATACACTGTTGTATTTACAGTTTGTTGCCTAACACCTAACAACTGTTTCAAAAATTTCAAATGTACTCTTTCAATGTCAGGGGCTTTATGTAGCCCCCATATTTCTGATCCATAATTTAATATAGGTAATATCATGGTATCAAATAATTTTAATTTAATATCTGGTATCTCAAAATTAACTTTGTCAAATAATGCATTTAAAGAAAACAAAGCTTTTAAAGCTTGATTAGCAAGCGATTTTTGTGCTTGATAAAAACGACCATTAGAAGAAAGCGTCACACCTAAGTATGTAAAAGTTCTCACAACTTCTAGTTTTTCACTATCATAGAATATATCATAATCTTGAGTTCTGTTTCCAGATTTACAAACCATGACTACAGTTTTATCAGTATTAACAGTAATATTCCATGCTTTACAATACATGTTCATGTTATTTAACAAATTTTGTAGACCTTCAACAGTATATGAAAATAAAACAGTTGTCTCAGCAAATAATAACATAAACATCTGTATTTCATCTAGACTGAGAATATCATCAGATTGAGTCAACATACAATTATACATATCATTTATGAAAAAT